ATAAAAACTTCATGACCTTTACGATTTTAATGGTTTTAACTTTCTTTCTTAATTACTTTTATGTCTTAATTTCTTCCACTTTTTCTACACCCCACATCAAGAGGGAGACCTCTTTGTAATTTTCCCACCTCTTTTAAAAATATTTGGGTCGGGAGCGAGTTTCACCGGCTTTTGTAATTGTCGGGTTGGATCAGTTGTATATTTTGTTAAAAATTAGCTCTCACTTTCCATTGATTTGCATATAACAAACAACCACAATCAACACGGGCAAAGCGGTTACATATGGTGCTGATGAGTTTGTGTCAGAAGTGTATTTTACCCACTTTTGTAATTAACGTTGAGGGGGGAGTGAATTTTGTTTTCAAACACCATCCTTCTCTCTACTCACACTTGGGATATTATAAGGCCGGTATCATTTATGAATGGCCAGCACTATCCAGCGGATTATCTTCTTGCTTTGGCAGATATGAAAGTCCAGAAATGATCGTATTTTCTCAGACATTTTGCCGTGGCCCCCAGCCACTATTAACAGAGCCCAGATTGCCCACCATCAATGGAGCACCTGCCCTAGAAAGAAAGGTGTTTCATCTCCTCAAGCTCCCACAGTCCACCCCCTGATCTTACCCCACCACCGCCGAGTACTCATGACTTTGAGATACACTGTGACAGATCGTTCTTCAGCGATTCCCAGGAGGCGGCATATGGCGTCGTAGTGACGAACAACCATGGTCAAATTTGTGATGGGAGAGCTGAGTCCCTGCATTGTTTTCCCCACTTGAAGCAGAAGCAGTGGCGTAGCCAGGATTTTATATAAGGGTGTTCCAATTTTTTTAAAATAAATTTATTTTATATGAGAAACTATTGATTTTTGTAATGACTCACAATATTTTTCTACTATAATAAAACTTGTAAATTATATACTATTCATCTAAACTATCAAAGACCTTGTTATCAATATATCCTACAGACTAATGATTCATAATTTTATTAATCATTCTATCCATGGCGGGTTATGGTAAAGACGCTCTACTGCTCAGGGATAGCCGATGAAAGTTTTTTGAATGAGATGGTAGAGTCGAGCGACTTAACGACCATGCTTGAGAGGAAAAGTTTCAAATGGAATTGAAAAGGGAAACATATATAGTTAAACACTACCACAATAAGTTTATTTAGTAATGTTGTGACGATAAGAATCACCAAACTAACAATTATCTAAAAAGTTAGAGATGTAAAAGTTTGGAAACTATATGTGATTTTTATTATCTAATTTGATTTATGTTTGAAGATAATTTAAATGTCTATTATTAATTGTAGTTTGATGATAGAAATACTAAATACTATGAATATGGTTTCATCTTCAACGTACAAGATTTCATCCAAAACAATCTTATATACCCCTTTCTCACATAGCAAGGGTGTGCCAGGGCACCTCCTCTTTACAGGCTGCCTCCGCCCCTGAGCAGAAGCGAAGGCTTTATGGGAGGGAGCTCGTTTGGCTGTTGTGCTTTCATCGCCATGCCTGGTTCTGACGGATTGCCTCTCCTTGGTTAAGGCCCTTCGAAGTCCGGCTGACACTTGGCCATGACGAGAAGCAGGTTGGATCGACCGCATCAAGAATCTCTCTGTGATCCACCCCTGGGTTAGGATTGATTTCATCAGCAGAAAAAGAACTCCAAAGCGAATTGGGTAGCTAGATCATGTGCTAAGAATCAGCTGCCTAATGAATGGATTCAGATCCTTGATGTTGTTGCCCCTCTTCTGTAACTCTTGGCTTCTGCCACAAGTAATAGAATTTCTTTGCCCTGTGTTAAAAAAAACTCTCTAATCTAACCCATCCAATCAAGAACTCTGAGAGAGCCTTTCAATGCTTTCATGGCAGCTTCTGCAATAAAAAAAACAAGAAACATGAACCTAAATCAAAATTCATATTCTGACTTCTGAATGCATGAATGATGAACCTCGGGGGTCGAAATAAGCAAAAGGATGCAACATTAATAAGAGAATGTTTCAATTCACCCTTGGCTTTTTAACCGTTTGTTTGGATATAATTCTGTTGGAAAATGAATTTCATTTCTTGTGAGAATTTGAATTCAAGTGGGAATTCATTTCAAGAATTTATGTTTGGAACAAATCCAAAAGTTTGGGAAATGATTTCATCTTTTTATGTTTGGAAAAAAATGGAAATGATTTCTTACAAGTGCTTTTACAATAATATCCTTGGTATTAATGATTTCAAATCCAAAAGTAGTAAGGGCTTTCTTGTAAAGGTGAGTCAAAATTAATGGAGATTTTTCAAAAAATAGCACTGTTTAAAAAAAATTCCAAAAATAGCACCCTTTTTGTAAAACCACCACCCGGAGGTGCGTTTTTCGATGAAAACCGCCACCTGAGGGCGCGTTTTTCGATGAAAACCGCACTGGTAGGGGGAGGTTTTACAGACCGCACCCCCACCATGCGGTTTGGTTGCAGACCGCACCCCCACGATGCGGTTTGTTTGCAGACCGCACCCCACGATGCGGTCAGGTTTTTTTTTTTTTTGTTGAAAAAATCCTAACCTAGGTGGAAACTTCAAACGAACGTATCTTTATGTTCGAGTATCCGATCGTCGCGATTTTTTTTTTGATTTCGCATAACTTTTTGAGATCTTGCAAGTCGAAGACTGCCAAAGGTGGTTTGGTCCCGCCTTCGTCCCAAAAAATGTCGTTTGCTACCCCGAACGAGTTTTTTTCCGATTTCGTCAAACTTTAGACAACCGTAACTTTGTGCTCCAAAATCCAAACGGCATGAATTTTTTTTCCGCATAACTTTTTAAGGACTACAATTTTTACTATGAATGAATTTTCAAAACAGGAATTATTTTGGATATACAGGATTTTAGGAATAGCTTATCTTCCCTTCTCAGCAATCCACGTACATTTTGAAATTATGTCTATGATAAAAGTTGTATTCCTTAAAAATTTATGCGAAATTAAAAAATTTTCATGCCGTTTGGATTTTGGAGCACAAAGTTATGGTTGTCCAAAGTTTGACGAAATCAGGAAAAAGTTCGTTCGGGGTAGCAAACGACATTTTTTGGGACGAAGGCGGGACCAAACCATCTTTGGCAGTCTTCGGCTTGCAAGATCTCAAAAAGTTATGCAGAATAAAAAAAATCGCGACGATCGGATACCTGCACATAAAGATACGTTCGTTTGAAGTTTCCACCTAGGTTAGGATTTTTCAAAAAAAAAAAAAACAAAAAGCTGACCGCATCGTTTGGGTGCGGTCTGCAAACAAACCGCATCGTGGGGGTGCGGTCTGCAACCAAACCGCATGGTAGGGGTGCGGTCTGCAAAACCGCCCCCTACCAGTGCGGTTTTCATCGAAAAACGCACCTCCGGGTGGCGGTTTTACAAAAAGGGTGCTATTTTTGGAATTTTTCGGAGTTTGGTGCTATTTTTGGAAAAAAAATTTAACCGTGCTATTTTTGGAAAAATCTCAAATTAATGTGGGGTCCACTAATTTTATCACTCCCTCCATCAATTCCGACCACTTTTGGTAGGATTTAGAATTTCCAACTTTTACCTTTTGGAATTCCATTTCCTTTTTACTTCCAAATAGGGCTGGCTATTTGGACCGGGACCGGATGAAAAACCGGACCGTATAACCCGGACCGAGACCGGACCGGGACCGGATAGTAAACAATACAATCCAATCTTTGGGCTTAGATTTGAGGTAAAAAACCGGATAAAGATCGGATAAGAGAGTTTAACACCCAAAATTTAAGGGTAATTTGCATAAACGGTCACAAACCTTTGCACTTAGTACAAAACTTAACCAACTCCTCACCCTTTTAGGCCTTAGGCCACTCAAATTCCCACAATCTCAATATAAAATCAAGACCGAATTGGGACCGGACCGGGTCAAGACCGGACTGTGTCCAATCCAATCTTTGGTCCTTATATTTTCAAAAAAACCGGACTGGACCGGATCAATTTAGGCCAATTTAACCGGACCGGACCGTATAGCCACCCCTACTTCCAAACATGAGAATCATGAAAAGTTTGAGAATTGAAATTTCATTTCCTCAATATTTAGCCTTTTCAAACAGACTGTAAGGAAAGGGGAAAGGAAATGAAAAGCATGGGAGAGACAGCTAACAAACACATTTCTAAGAAGTCAGAACAATGGCTGAAATACTTGTCAACAAGTATTGGTGTTCAACGTCTCACTTAATGGGTGAGTTAGTGTGAAGTTCTGAAACCGAGCATCACTAGAAGTATAGTCAACATAATAACAAGGAAGAATCATTACTCAAACAAAGGGAATCTCAAAATTTATTTTTTCTTTGCAACTTAGTACCTTTTAGTTTTTTGGAGCTCTCACTGAATTTCAGTAGAGTAACGTAACTTAGCTTGTTCCAAAAAAACCATAAAAACATCAAACATCCTCGTTCGAACATTGTTCGGAAAGGAGTGAACCGTGTTGTTGTCGGTGTTCAAGAAGTCAAGATGCATTTATTGAATTCAAACACCAGATTTTCCTCGCCGGAAAACAATCTTAATTACATCGAATCACAAATTTAGGCCCTACTTTGCCCCACACTGAGCCTATGTCATCTAGCAAATAAATTCCGTATACCACATCACCATTCACCACCAATGATTAAACATGTTATATATAGCTCATCTCAGAACTTTCTTCTTCCATTCTAATTCGAACCAAACAATTCTAACACGTTACTAATTAATACCTGGCGATTTAACGATAAGCAAAGGTAAACAAAAACGATCACGTTCTCATTTATGAAGAAAAACCTAACAACACGTAACTCTGTCCCTTTGGATCCTTGCCTTCAATTGACAAACAAATCATTTCCCGCCATAGAGACCTTATCCAAAACACCTACCGATCTCCCCCACATTATTGCTTCTCGGTTTCAACTTCTCAACTACAAATCGCTATATACAATAAACTGCTTCTCCTCCTGTTCCCTCTTCATATCATCACCCAAATCAAAGGCCAAGAGCAAAAGAACTTTGTTTTTGTCTACCAAATTTCCTTAGCAAGTTCTCTGGAGCAAACAAGAAAAAATGGCATCAGGAAGCAGCTGCGACTGCGAGTCCAAGTTCCCACCAGAGAGCCAGCCAACTCAGCCGGCAAAGGAGTACTTGATGAACCCTCTCCCTCAGCCCCTAAACCCTAAACCCTACAAACCCACCAACAAACTCCTCGTAAATCCCTTCGATTTTTCGCATCCAAAACCCTTCATTTCGTAATGTTTACGTGAACGTATATCTAAGTACATACTATGTTGATCATGCAGGGGAAGGTAGCTCTGGTGACAGGAGGAGACTCAGGAATCGGGAGATCCGTTTGCCTACACTTCGCCATGGAAGGTGCTACAGTCGGGTTCACATACGTAAAAGGCATAGAAGACGTCGACAAGGACGAAACCATCAAACTCATCAAACAACTGAAACCCCCTTCTTCAAAAGACCCGATCGCCATACAGGCCGACCTGGGGTACGAATCGGAGTGCCAGAGGGTTGTGGACGAATTCGTCAAAGAGTACGAGACCATCGACATCCTGGTCAACAACGCGGGGGTCCAGTACTACACGAACTCGATGGACGACATAACTGAATCCAGGCTGGAGAACGTATTCAGGACGAACATTTTCGCCTACTTTTTCCTGGCGAGGTTCTCACTGAATCACATGAAACGAGGCGGGTGCGTAATCAACACGACCTCCGTCGCGGCCTACACGGGGAACGGCGAGCTGGTGGATTACAGCGCGACGAAGGGCGCGATCGTGAGTTTTACGAGGAGCCTGAGCTCGATGCTCGTGGAGAGAGGGATCCGGGTCAATGCGGTGGCACCGGGACCCGTTTGGACGCCGTTGCAGGTCGCGGTGATGCCGCCGGAGAGGACGACCACGTTGGGGTGCGAGGTGCCGATGAAGAGGGCGGCGGCGGCTTATGAGATCGCGCCGTCGTATGTGTTTTTGGCTTCGGAGGGTTGCTCTTCGTACTTCACTGGCCAAGTCCTGCATCCCAACGGTAATGCAAATACGTAACGTAACATGTTTGTTAGTTAGTTAGTTAACTTTTTGACAGTAGAGGTTGACGTTCGTTTTGTTTTTCAATTGTTGTTGGCAGGGGGTTTGATCGTTAATGCTTGAACGACGACGTTGCGTTTGATGGCACGTGGTAGGCTGGTAGCTGTCGCAGTTATATAGTGTACTTTTTACCGTTGTGGTTGGTTGGGTTTACTTTTACCGTTGGAACATTAATGGGAATCGTGTGTCTCCCATAAATAATAGTGACTTGCATCGCCATTTATGGAAGGAACGAAGAACAAATTAAGTCCGTGCACATCACATGCATGGTCATAAAAACAGAGTTTGTTTCACGTGTACCCCCAAAATGTTTCTGGACACGGTGAATGGACCAGCTGGGTTGAAGTTGCTTATAGCCCCATTCAAATTTGAAATATATGTAAATTTGTAACAAAATTTTAAAAAATAAAATTGTAGGTACTGTGTTAGTGTTGTGGTATATGATCCACGATTGAACCTCTCACAACAACTCGAGTTATTGGGATCAACTGGTTCATGACATAGTATCAGAGTTGGTTTGTCCTTGAGGTCACGTGTTCAAGTCCTCACGACCCCTAATATTAACCGTTGTCTTCAAGCACATGGTATGGCGGGCCTGTGCAAACTTCAAGCCCATGAGTCGGCTTTCGTTTGAGGGGGCGTGTTAGGAAGTGGTTTAGTACCATACACGGGCCTGTATAAGATCCAGCATAACCTTCTCCCAACAACTCGAGTTATTGGGACCAACTGGTTTATGACATACTGCTCTTCAATTATTACCGTTCAAATCAGCTGCTCATCGGACCGTGAAAACCACACACTTTCGTGGTTTCGGCCACAGCCAAATCCTTCACCTCGCGCTAGATCTCGTCGAAAAATTGTCATCTTCATCAAAAAATCGTAACTTCATCTAAAATTCGTCAAAACACACTAGAGAAAGAGAGTCATATCTCGGGGGAGGAGGTGGAGATTATGACAGCAAATTGGGTACCAGGGTGTCATCCTAATCCGCCGGAGGTGTTGCCGTCGGCGTTCCTTTGGGAGGGGGCTACGGTGGCTGGGCTGATGGGGGAAGAGCCAGGGACGTGGTGTGATGATTGCTTGGCTAACTGCTTTCCCTCATCGGTGGGCCTGGCGATTAAAGCGATTGTTCTCCCACGATCGCCTGTGAGAGACAAGCTGATCTGGCATGAGGATAGATCGGGGGAGTACACGGTGAAGTCCGGGTACCATTTGGCGATGAGGATGACTGGGAGGCGGTGGAAGGGAAAGTGTGAGGCATCATGGATGGATCCTGCTCTGTGGCGGAAAGTGTGGAATCTTGGGATTCAGCCAAAGCTTAAATTCTTTATGTGGCAGGTCATGAACAGGATTTTGCCGACGATGGAGGCTTTTGCTGTGCGCGAGATTGAGGTGTTGGAGCAGTGCCCGGTGTGTTGGCATGAGGTTGAGGATTTGGAGCACTTGTTCTTTCACTGCCCGGTGGCTGCCAGGTTATGGGCAGAGTCAGGTCTCATGGATGTCCGGGCTGGTCTTCCGGAGGCGAACATGGGGATTTTTGTCCGGCGACTGTTGGAAACGGGGACTAGTGAGGAGGTTATTATCAGGGTAGTTTCGTTGTTATGGCGGGTTTGGAAGTCTCGTAACTGGGTGGTGTTTGATGGGTGCCAATATACTGGGGAGGTCTTGCGTAACCAATGGTTGGTTCAGGTGGGGGAATGGCTACAAATGATGAGAGGGGCAGAGGTCCGATTGCAAGAACAAAGACGGAGGATATCTCTGGGCCCACATCGACCGCCACAGGGGGTGGCTTGGGTATGCTCCTTTGATGGGGCTGTGCGTCAGGAGTCACACTCGGCGGTGGGGATTGTCTTACAAGGGCCGGATGGGGTGGTGGTTACTGCTTTGGGGAAGGGATGGGAGGGGGTTACGGATCCTATGGTGGTGGAGCTGCTGGCGCTTCGGGGGGCAATCTTGTGGTGCAGATCGATGGGAGTGTACGGGGTCTGTTACCAGGGTGACGCGAAGGTGGTTATAGATAAGGTGCTAGCTGGCAGTACGGGGGATTGCTATGGAGGAGCGGTGTTGCGGGAAGTCCAGGACGTGTTGGGTGCGGTGGAAGGGGATGTTCTCCGATTTGTAGGTAGGGATCACAATAGGGTAGCCCATAGGGTGGCTAGAAAGGCCCTTTCTTTGTATCCTACTCATATCGGTGGGTTTGATTTTTGCGTTTGGCTCCGATCGGAGTTGTAATCGTTTGTGATCTTTGCTTCTTGGTAATACAAGCTATCTTTTGCCAAAAAAAAAAAAAAAGAGAGTCATATCTGGTCCTGTTGGGGGCATACAGTGAGTGGCCCAAGTAAGGGGCCCAAGGAGCCGAAATGGGCCGGAAGTGTGGGCCTGGCAAGGAGGAGGCCCGGCCCAAAAAAGGGCTAGAGGCTATGGCCCAGGCGGTGGGACCGGGCCTGAGGTAGGGCGCATGACGACAAAAGGGTGGCAACGGCCGGAAGCGTACGGAGGGGACAAGAGGTGGGGTCATGAGCCTCCAGGGCAAGGGTAGGTGTCTGAGTGTCGGGGTTCATGAAGAGAGGAAGGTACAGTGCATTTAATGAGGTGATGACGTGGGGCGGATTTGGGGGCAGTGGTCGACCCTACCCCGAGTATAAATAGTGAAGTGGGTGGAGCTCATTTACTCAGGTTCCAACTTCTCTCTAAAACTTGCATCTCACTTCTCTCTCTAGAAAGATCGTTCTAACTTGGGCGTCGGAGTGCTAACGAGCCCTTCCCAAGGGGGCTCGGTGGGCGCCTTTGTGTGCAGGTGGGTGGACGCGGAGCGGAAGCGCGCGGAAGTTAGGTGGTACGCGGGAGCCATCAGGGGAGGAAGGTTGCGTGGCACAAACAGGTCCAAAGTCGAGTCTGGCTCAAAGGCGAGATTTAATTAACTAGCCACATGCGATATTCGGTCTGGTCGGCATCGAGAAAGTTTTGGTCGATGACGAAGCTTGGTCGGACCGACAATCATGTTTATTGAGATAGGATTTATAGAGTTGAATTTTGAAATTTGACATTGTTCAAAAAAGAAAATTGGTGGCAATTGGCAAATAATAAAAGTGTTGGCAGCAATAACCTTTGATCAGATTTCAATGTTAAACGAAAGAGACCCCCCTAAACTCCACAGCAAGATTGCCTAGATCTTGGGAAAACAATTTACTAGATGAGGAAATCAACCTAATATCTCCAGAACATATTCTCTGGTTGCCAAAAGAACTGAAACATGCCACCATAGGGCATACGTGGCACATACCACCCCCAAAATGCATACGTGGCATCTGGGCAAAACAACTCCCACCGACTGGAGTCAATCAATATGTTAACCCATAATGACACTTGGCCTCCATTGGCAGTGAGACCATTTCACAACTCATCACTACCGCCACCTGGCTGCTTTACACATACATCTCCCTTTTAGTTGTCCAAGTTCCTACAACCAAGCTTTCCAATTTTCTTTCGCACTTTCTGCATTGCCAAACAGAGCAGAGAAGGAAAGGGGAAAAAGAGTAGAGAGTTCTAATGGCCAGTGGTGGGGGAGAGCAGTTCCCAGCGCAGAGCCAAGAGCAGCAACCAGGGCAAGAACATGTCATGCGCCCGCTCCCCAAGCCGCTCGACCCGAGCTACAAACCTTCCAACAAGCTCCATGTATCGCGAATCTTTCGATTCGCGAGCAAAATCGAATTATTGTTACTCCTCCAATATGGTTAATCATGTTTTTTTTATGCAGGGGAAAGTGGCTCTGGTGACCGGAGGCGATTCCGGCATAGGCAGGGCGGTGTGCCTGCACTTCGCGCTCGAGGGCGCGACGGTGGCCTTCACTTACGTGAAGGGAGTGGAGGACAAGGACAAAGACGACACGTTGGTGATGTTGTTGGAAGCCAAGGCTGCTGGAGCTAAAGATCCCCTGGCCATAGCTGCGGATATTGGGTTCGACGAGAACTGCAGGAAGTTGGTGGATCTCGTGGCGAAGGAGTATGGCCGGATCGATATTCTGGTCAATAACGCGGCGGAGCAGCACCTGTCGCATTCGATGGACGATGTCACCGAGTCCAGGCTCGAGAGGGTGTTCAGGACCAACATCTTTTCTCAGTTCTTCTTGACCAGGTAGATAGATTTTTTCATTTGGACTCTTTTTAAGGTTAGGAAAAGAAGGAAGAAAAAAGAAACGTTTCCGTTGCCGGGACTTGAACCCGGGTCTTTCGGGTGAGAGCCGAATATCCTGACCAACTAGACTACAACGGACTTTGTTGATGGTTTTAATATTAATTTTTATTGATTAACAAGCATAGAGAAACCAATCAAGTTCTAATCCATAAGCTTTGTTCTTCTGTTCTTTTTCTAACTTAAACCTAGGGGTCGTTTGGAGAATATGAGTTTAAATCTACAGATTTTCAACAATCTAAAGATTCTAACTCTTCGGATTGTTGAAAACAGATTTTAAAATGTTTATTGTTTGGTAACTGATTGTTAACATTCCATTAAAATAATAAAAAAATTATTTTATATTAAATAACATGTTTATCCTTAATAAAAAAAATTAGAGTGGTTTGAGAAATATTAAAAACTTTGTTGATAAATATTTTCATGTGATAAATAAATAAAAGTAAGAGAAAAACTAGAAGAAAAAAAAATCTTACGAATCAAAATTTAGAATCTCTCTGATTATGAGAGATTTGATATCCACAGATTTTAGAGATTTGAAATCTCTAAATGTAGAATCCACAATATAAAAAGCAACAGAAAAATCCATGAATTCAGTGAATCCATATCCTGAATCATGTTCTTCAAACGACCCCTAAATCTTAGTTTTTTCAATTAAGTTTCTGATTTACCAGGGAAGGCAATGAGTCGGATGATAATAATTACTAGGGACAAATAGGTGAACCTCAGTTGTCCTGCTCTAATTCGCCATATTCATACTCATACACAACATTCAGGTTTGTGCGTTTGTCATAGCCAAGTTCTAGTTTTTGCCCGATCTCATTGAGTCATGGTCGATAAGATATTCATGATTGTGAATATTTTTGTCATTCCTGATTAAATTCTTAAATTTGTGATTAGGCACGCTTTGAAGTACATGCGCGAAGGGAGCGCGATCATCAACTCGACATCGGTAAACGCCTACAGCGGAGGTTCCGAGGTCCTTGATTACACAGCAACAAAAGGAGCCATTGTGGCATTCACAAGGGGACTGGCGCTGCAACTTGCCAGCAAAGGGATCCGGGTCAATGCCGTGGCTCCAGGACCGGTCTGGACCCCGCTGCAACCAGCTTCCATGCCTGCTGAAAGCATGAAGGGCCTCGGTTCGTCGGTCCCCATGGGCAGGGCTGCGCAGCCTCACGAGATCGCCCCTTGCTACGTGTTCTTGGCCTGCAACGAGTGCTCCTCGTACTTCACAGGCCAAGTTCTGCACCCCAACGGTAAGAATGCCTCGTCGATCGCCACACATAACGAACCGTCTACTTGTCTTGGTTTCTTGCTCATGGTCTTTGTTTCTGAATTGGTGGGTTTCAGGTGGAATGATTGTTAACACCTGATGGCTGGTAGATCCTGGCAAGCTGTACATTGTAATTGCAGTATATGGCATTACAGTGAGTTCATGGATTTGGGTTACTGTTTCATAAATAAGGCTATGGATTGGATGGTAAATAAAAGCCTTTGTAACGACACACCAAATCTTCTATATCGATAGGAACATATAAAGAAGCTTTCCTTTTGATTTCTTCTCCTTTCTTTAAGCATACATGGCACTACAGTAATCAATACTCATAATCCATTACAAGGTTGACACACTGGAATTATCATTGAATTAAATTAGCTTCGGCGGCTTGTTTATAGGGATTGTTCGTCCGGTGTTCGAAACTGATCACCTCCAGGTAGTTGGGGAGACTTGCAGATCAGTGGAAGGCTCGGAAATGATCGGTCGAGAGGCTCGAATTAGTTTTTAAGAGTTATGGCAAAAAATGCAGGACGCAAAGACCAATCAAGGGAATTGGTTTTCTTCAATCTTCGAAAAGCCGTCGCTTGCGTTATTTGCTCTTATCGCATCTCACTTGTTCAGAAAGAAAGCACACGGTTGCTGAAAGACACTTGAAAGTTGGCGGATTGCAGTTAACTGCAACGATCAATGGCCCATCTGAAACAATGAAATGGGGAAAACAGGTTACCAAGGAAGAATCACTGATAGTGATGATGAAGAAAGTTCACTGTGCTGGAAGTGTAGTTACAAACCTGGAGATGAGAAACTTCAGGACGGCAGGGGACAGGTGTGGAAGGGCGGTGGCCGCCGAGGCTAATATCCTCCATTGCCTCGTCTTCCTGGAGAGCTCTAGCAAGAGAGTTGTCCTTGTCCTCCTCCACATTCTTTCCCTTGAAGCAGAAACTTGAGCCGGTTTCCCCAGAACCGACAGGGCTGCTGCGTTTCGAGGAGGAAAGCTCTAATTTTTCCATCATTCTTGCAACGCCTGCAATTCCAGCGCTCATTTCCCGCTGGACTCCTTTGCTCAGCTCTTTAACCGAGTTGTTACGTGCAAGCAACTTTTCCTTTATACCTTGAGTGCCCTTCGTGATCGATTCCTTGTATTTGGCTGAAGCAGCAACCCACTTCGATTTAATGGAGTCCGACAACGAGACCATCCTCGAAGAACCTGGCTCGTCGGGGCTATCACCTTGTGATTGTCCGAAGAGAATCCTGCATCATCATAAACGGCAGAGAATTACAAGGGAACAGTCATACGGCTAGCAGGAACCAATGTGAATCCTGATCCAACAAGATAGAACATAAAATGACGAGAGCTCGAGTCATGGTCTCCATACCTGTTCCTGAACAAGTGATCGTGGCTGTCATTGGAGATCATGTCGTCGGAGTTCCTGAGACTGTGAAGTGTGCGCATGGGAGAAGTTGGTGAACCAGTTCCAGACGAGGCAGGGCTCAAGCTGCGGCCACCAGGTGAACTTTGTTGGTCATTCCTCAAACCACCTCCATGGGAGGCAAAGACGAACACCCTGGAGGTACCGCGTCGAGGTGGGGACCTATTGTCCCTTCTCTGGAACTGCCGAGCTCTATACACAGCAGCAGCAAGATGCTGCCCTATGCGTTCATCGAAGTCCGAATCATCTGAGTAAGAGTCCTGCAATGGAACAACCGTGGGGGAATTAAGAGGCTATACAAGCCAAGCATGCAACATGATTGGAATCATTTTGAGGGTTTGCCCTCTCACTATGAGCATTCAGTGATCAAATCACCTGGTCTACATCAAAATTGTCAAAGAGAGAAGGTCTGGTGGTGGATCTAGGACGGGATCGGATCGTTAACCTCGAATGCCTCTCGGCCGCAACAGCAGCAAAAAGCTCTTGACTGCACAAAGGCAAACAGCAACCCATTCATCAAACAGAATTAACCAATTTTCCTGCTGTGTCTCGATCAAAACACAAGGAATTGAACAGGTACCTGGATTCATCCTTCAGGGAAAGGAGCTGCCAACAAATTGGGCATTCTTTGCTTCTCTGACACCTAACGAGAGTTTAAAAACAAAAGGACAACCTCAATCAATACATAAGCAGATGCATCTGGCCGGCAAATTCAATGCAATAGTTTAACAAACAGCCTACCAATCGAGAATGCACTGCAGATGGTACTCATGCTTGCAGTTGGTCACCTGAGTCAGACAGACAAACCGATCAAAAGATTAAGGTGGGAAAAAGAGTGATCATCAAAACTGAAACAAACCCAGTAATCGATCAGCTCCAAATAGGACAAAGGGAACATAAAGATCACAACTTTACATCACCCGAACACTTTTCGAACCACACATTGTCGTTAGAAAAAAAAAACCCAATCATCCCTAAACAAGACCAAGCCAATAATGGAGTGAAAGAGTTGATGAATTTACAGTGGCAGGGTCTTGGACAGTGAAAGGCTCGAGGCAGATGCTGCAGGCTTCTTCATAACTGTCGTCGATAACTGCAGAAGCTGTGGAAGACCCAGCAGTTGAAATGATTGGGAGGTCACAGGCAGCCATTGGAGAGGTTAGAGATCAAGGGAGAGGGGAGAAAGAGGGGATTGGGGGGATTTTGGGAATGTGGGGGAACCCTAAAATTGGTAAAGAGAGATGGGATTGGAATGAAGGAAGGAGCGCGAGATGGGTTTGGTTTAGAGAAAGGGAAAGGGGGAAAAGGGAAGGGCGTTTTATGGAGGGAGTCAAAGAAAAAATTGCAGGGAGATGGACCTATGAGTTTGCTTTGTCGGAATCAAAGTGTTTTGGGTTGGTTTTCCACCTTCACCTTGGAATTTCCACCCTTCTTTCCTTCATCTCTTTGTTTTAATCAATAGCAAAACACTTTGAGCCGTTGCTTTATTTTTTTCCTTTTGTTTTTTCACTTCTTGGCTAAATCTTCATTTTCCCATTTGAGGATGATTATCATGGTTTAGGATGAAATTTTTCTTGTTCTAGTTAATTCGTTATTAACAAGTTGAACATTTTTTTTCTCTATTAACTTTTCCATCCTCCTTATTTACTTTACATTTGGTTGTCCTATGCATCATTAATCATTTGTCATTAACTATTAACATGTACATATCTCTTATCATATTTGCTTTTTTTTTTGTCTTTTACAGCACTAAACTTGCATGGTATTGAATTGCACCATATTAACACAAAAATAGAGAAATTACTTCCATTACGAGACAAGAAGAGGTCAATAAGACGACTCGATCACACAATATTTATTGTAATTAAGAGGCCACAAAAAAAATCCGAATATCAATCACCCCATATAGTGCCTGTGGAAGGACAAATATATTGTTGAAATAAAAAAGAATGGCTATTGCTTAGGTATTAATTCATTCCAAAAAAAATTATAATTAATTCCAAATTCATAAAAAAAAACTTATTTCCAAAGCTTTTCAATTGATTATATCACACATAAACAAGTAGGGTATTGATGCCAATGATGCAAGAATTGGAAAGCTTTTATACTCTTTTGATCATAGTTTATGATTCAAGTTTGAAATTACTTCAAAGTTAGGGAATCACCTCACCTAACCTTTCATCCCCATCTCTTCCCCTTTTTTCACCTTTTTCATTGGTGTGAAAGAAAAAAGGAGGGAAAAAAATACTAATCAACCCTTTTTATTTATTTATTTATCTCATCCTCTTGTTTTATTTTTTAATTTATCCTCTTGTTTTAGCCCTTTCACACTGAGGACGAAATTGTTTAATAATTGTTGGATCGGGAAAGTAAAATCATTGTGAATTCGTTATAATTGAGGGTCCAAATCTACAAATTCAAGATAAATTAATAATTAAATAATTAAAAATGCTTGATGTGGATGAAAGATAGGAATATATGTAATCTGTTGTTCGTGCTTCGTGGCCCGTTTGTCTGTGGCTGGCGACTCGATCATTCCGCCGTTTGTCCGACGGCAACGCTCCGTGTTAGTCTAACGAATCCTTCTCCGAACCCGAAGATCACGTCCAAATTTTATAAGATTTTCTATTTTTCTTTTTCTCCTCCTCCTCCTCCCTAATTTAATTACTAATTAGCGTTATTGGGTCCCACTGTTTTATCCACGTGGCAGCTATTCCCGCAATCCCCGGACTACCCTCCCGCGGAAATTCCCTCGATTATCCGCTTGCCCCGGCGAAGGAAGAGAAACGGAGATTTTTTAGCTAAACGACTGCCGGAGTTATGGCTGTCGCTCCCGCCGTCACGAATCTCCGGCTTCTCCACATTTCAAGCTCGGCTGTCGTTCCGAAACAGTGTCCAGCTCCTTCCTCGGTTCAATTAGTTGGTCGGAGTTCGAGTAGTCGGCGGTTCAAGCCGCCTTTGCGAGCGGCGCTGCAGACTTCTGTTGTTCTTCGAGAGGAAGGAGAATCAGGCGGCGGCGCGGCGACTCTCCGGGAGCTCTGCCGAGGACACGTGCCGGACCACGTGCTGAGCAGGTGAAAATGCGGAAAGATTCAATCTTTATTACCTATGGGCCGAATTCTGATTAGGGTTTGGGTGATTTTTGTCTAGGGCGGAAGGGATTGGATATGTTATGCCGACGGATGTGCAGAGCCAAGCTCTGCCTGTTCTGCTTAGTGGGCGGGACTGTGTTATTCATGCTCAGGTTTGGGTTTATGTGCTTACAGAGAGGGACTGTTTTATAAGGATACTTTGTGTTTGTTTGGGACTATTTTGATGAGGTCAATGTAGTGGTTTTGGCTTTTGGTATCACAGACAGGCTCTGGGAAGACGCTGGCTTACTTGCTGCTGGTATTCTCAGCTGTGAAAGCTCAGAGATCTGCTGTGCAGGCACTGATTGTGGTGCCTACCCGGGAGCTAGGAATGCAAGTAAGAATCTTGATGATCATTCTAGTAAAATTTGTAGTGTTAGTTGGATTGTGGAACTGACATGGGTTGTCCTGAACGGGAATGCCGATACCTTGCGTTTTTTTGGTTTGTGTATGAGCAAAGGTTACAAAAGTGGCTCGAATGTTGGCTTCAAAAGCTGCGGACAATGACTTGGAGGAGAAGTCGTCATGCACTGTCATGGCTCTTTTAGATGGAGGGATGCTGAGAAGACATAAGAGTTGGTTAAAGGTGATGCCAATCACTCTTATTTATGTGACTATATGGAATCTTTACCTCATTTGCTGAGAGTGTCTGGTTTTCTTTTTCCAGGCGGAACCACCTTCTATTGTGGTAGCAACAATAGCGAGTTTGTGTCAAATGCTTGACAAGCAGATATTTAAGCTCGATGCGCTGGAGGTTCTGGTTATAGATGAGGTAGGCTGTTTGTACTTTCAAAAGAATAAATCTTACTGGTTTGGGTTCACGGAGTTGAGTCCTTGGGACTAATATCTACATTTGTTTTCGTTGGCCTAGGTAGATTTCTTGTTCAACTCTTCGAAGCAAGTCAGTTCCCTTAAAAAGATTTTAACCTCATATTCATCGAGCAGCAAACGCCAAACTGTTTTTGCAAGTGCATCCATCCCACAGCACAAACGATTTGTTTATGACTGCATACAACAGAAGTGGACCAAGGTCTGGTTTGGTCATAGTATATTTGAAAAGCCTCTACTTGCCAAGAAAGGATCCGCTTGCCCATAGTAAGTTCACTGATGTGGTTTGCTACTCTGCTGCTTACATACAGAGAGATGTGGTCCATGTGCATGTCAATGCGATTAAGCCGTTGCCATCCTGCTTGCAACACAAATTCGTGGTAAGTAGAATTCTTTTGAATGTCATCAATGGGCTTGTTTGAATGAAATCTTTGGGTCCTTCCTAATGCTGCGTCACTTTCAAAGGTATGCACTAAAAAGCTGAAACATGCGGTTCTGCTATCCTTGTTACATTCTGATGCTCCCAAGTCGGCAATTGTTTTTGTTGGTGAACAGGTTTGTGTATACAGTCTATCTGTCTACTGGATGTAACCCTTTCTTGATACTCTTAAGCATGAATTAGTTGATTTTCTTTGTTCCTGATGCAGTCTGAGAAGTCAAAAAAGGCTGGGAATGGTCCATCAACTGTACTTCTAGTTGATTTCTTGAAAACTTCTTATAGAGGTAGCTCAGATGTCCTGCTTTTGGAGGAGGACATGAATTTCAATTCTCGGGCAGCTTCACTTTCGGTAATAATCTGCATTTTGAATGATTGCGAGTGCAGCCTTAATGTACAATTGATGAGCGTAACCATGTTTGCTTAAAAAGCTTACACTACTCTCCCCTGGGATGCAGGAATTGAGAGAAGGGGAAGGTTATCTTCTTGTAGCAACAGATATAGCTGCAAGAGGAGTGGATTTGCCTGAAACAACTCATATCTACAACTTTGATCTACCAAGAACTGCAGTTGACTACCTTCATCGAGCTGGAAGAACAGGTAGGAAACCCTTTTCAGATGAGAAATGTAATGTTACCAGCATTATTACGCTCGAGGAGCGATTCGTTTTGCAGAGATACGAGAATGAACTGATGTTTAACTGCGAAGAAGTAATCATTTAATTCAAGTGTTGGTTCTTTTTTATTCTGGAATCAAATTGTTGCGTACAAGTGCCAATCTCTGCTTCATCTTTTTCTTGTCGAGAAAAAGATTTGATCTTCAGTTGGTTTAGTATATGGGAAAGAACTTAACACGTATTGAAATTTATGAAAGAAATCATGTTGCATATTTTTCCTGTTCGGAACTTGGCTTTATCAGTGTCTTCTGCTATCTCACGTCTCAAACATCAACAAAAGAATTGCAAGGGTGAAGGAAGTGATTTTTATATTACAAGTCCATCTTCTATGACTGCGTTTTTAAATATAACTGTAACCCCAGATCGAATGTAGAAGCCTTCAGAAGTTCTGTCAGCCTCTTGTATTCCCTGTACAAAAGAAGAAGAAACCATAGGCAAAGCAGAATCAGAACAGTCCTTAGTAATACATTTGATGTAGAATTGAAGTTTTTGTGTTCTCAAGTTTAAATACCTCCGAGTTAGCTATGATAACATTCTTCCCGATCCGGGCATTTTTGTCAATAATGCATTCTCTGCACAGGGGGTAGCAAAACTTAACATGAGTCAAGGAGAAAGAGGAGAATGCTACTTAATAATAGGGAAGAAAGAACTACTGCAGTGTAACTGCTTGCCAAACGAACCTGATTTTTGTGTTTTCTCCTATCCCAACAGTGACTCTTCCTTCTGCTACTAGTGAAGCTACTTCACCTTCAGTTTCATAGAAGTCAGCTCCTAACATAACTGTGTCCTGCAAATATAAACCATTTTGTGTAATGTCTCTCTCAACTTTCAAAAGGCTATGTAAGGAGAATTGAAAGACACAAAACCTTTAGATGGACATTAGCAGTGATTCGAGATCGGATGCCGACTACACTGTGGTCAATGTGGCAGTCTGTCAAGAAGCTTCCAGGGGAGATGATTGAATCGAAGATCTGCCACAAAAGCAATTGTGAGTAAGTACATACTACATAGCACTCATTATCAAATTCAGATAGAAAGTTCTCTTTTCTTTTTTACCTTGCTGCTGTCGATCTTGCTCGGTGGCAGGTTTCTCCTTGATGTGTAAATGGGCTTGGCAGCATCATAGAAACTAAACCTTGGTGGCTGCAAGCGTGAGAACGTATGAGAAAATTCTCCTTTTCAGGAGACGAGAAGAAAAGTAACTACAAGAAATGAAAATTCACTCTTACATGCTCTGTAAGAGCGAGATTTTCCTCGAAGAATGATCTAACAGTTCCAATGTCTTCCCAGTAATCATTGAACAGGTAGGCCTGCAATTCTTTTTTATAGAGAAGAGAGACGATAGTCCAGTAAAGATCACTCCTTTTGTTCCCTCTTATGTTTTTTTACTAAAGTGAAAGTAGAGGCATAGACCAAAAAGCCTTCACCTTTACATGGTACTCGCTTGCCGAAGCTGGGATTATTTCAGATCCAAAGTCATTAGCTGTTGGGAATCGCCATCTGATCCAAACATCGCAGTGAACTTTCAATTAGTTCTGAAAGGAAGCCACAATCCCTCAGTTTCGTGGGGAAGTCGGGATACCAAGTGGGTACCTGAGAAGATTGAGAAGTATCTCTTTCTTGAAGAGGTAAACTCCCATGGAGGCAATGTATGGTTTCTTTACAGCTTCATCTTTGGAGAGCCCTAGCACTGTAGTATCAACGGCCTAAATATGATTTTTTATTTATTTTTATTCTTGTTATCCCTGATTAGCTTTTCTGTTTCTGCAAGGCAATGCAAGAGAGAAGCTAAGGGTGAAAGACTCACCATTGCCTTGAGCTCATCCCCTCTAGGCTTTTCACTAAAGGAGAGGACACTTCCTTTGTTGTCTATCTTCATTAGACCAAAGTCTGAAGCCCCTGCCCGTCTATCACGAAAAAGGCACAAAGAGAAGGTCCCAGAAGTTCATTGATTAACAAACCATAATATGCTTTGATGACAAAAACTAGTGGTCATTTGCCAAGATTGATTCTTCACATACTTGTCATCTATGGGCAGAGAAGAAATGGTGATGTCTGCTCCACTCTGCCTATGATTCTATAATCATGAAGATCAATGATCCACTAAGGGGAACTGAAAACACCCTTAAACTCTTTGCAGGGACTTCTGCTTCTGAAATGTAGCTTGATGGGGGGTACCTGAACAAAGGCCATGTAGTCCATACGATACAGATGATCTCCTGACAGTATCAGCACATCCTCAATCTCCTTACTCCTTGCGTCCTATTTCATCAACAAAAAAAAAATCAACATTTTGGGTTTCAGTTGTGCTGGAAATTGAAGGCAGAAGCTTGTTGAGCTTCATTGTGCTATTGCTCAGTTGAACTTACCTCGAACAACCAATGGAACTGCCGAATAGCATCTGCAGTGCCTTGAAACCACTGCTTTCCTGTCTCCCCTGGCGTTTGAGTTGCAGCCAGAGCCTGTCAAGATAGTTCTTTCCGAGTGAGAGTTTCTGATCTCTCAAACTCTCATTTCGCTGATTAATGATTATGTACCTCGACGTAGCCATCTCCAAAGTTGGTTCCACTACCAAAGTTGTAACTTGTAAGCTCGTACAAGATGCCTGTTTAGCAAAGCTGAGTTGTACTGAGTGAGAATGTAGACCTTGTTGATCCCGCTGTTGATACAGTTGCTCATCGGCACATCGATCAGCCGATATGCACCTCCGATCCGGACCTGCCATGTTTAGTAAATTGATTACTAAAGAATGCCAGTCAAAGGGGAGATCGGGGGATAATGAGCAAGACTTACAGCAGGTTTGGCACGGCGTTTAGAGAGAGGGAAGAGGCGAGTACCAGCTCCTCTCCTCCTAGAATAACTGCAACAACAGTCCTCTGGATCCCTTCTCTCCATCTCAAGGTCCCTCAACTATGGAACCCAAAGTTTTTCAACATTAACCAACCTCGAAATCAAGAAACAAACGAAACCAAACCCACATTCCGCCATTAATAGTGATTAAGAGGTTGCTTAGCAACTTTGTTCCCACAAACTCCTATGAGAAGAATCTGATTATGGTGTCGTTTTGAGCTTGCTTCCCATGAACTCCCCATTCCCAAACTTAACGACCCTCGACGAAGAAGAGCTCTTCGACGGCATGACAGGTCCATTGCTGTTGCCGTGTAGGGGGAACCAGCCGTCGGCAGACAGTGCCATGGTGAAGTGAAGGGGAAATTTTCCTCTCTTTCCTTGTATTGGAATGGGAATGCTATGCTATGATTTTGCTTACTGACGGAGAAGGAGAGTTTAGTTTGCTGACGTGGGTTGCATGCCATTGGATGATTGGTGTCATATCCAAATTCAATTGCATCCAACAGTTTTTTTTTTTCGTTGGTATTGTTTGTTTGTATTTGGGTAGCAGCCAAGAGCTGAAATTTTGAACAACAAAAAAGGAAAGAGTACATAATTGATCATTTTTAGTCAGCAGAGCAGAGAGGAGAGTAAGCTAAAAGCCCAAGAGAGGAATACGAATATGCTAATAGTTGCTGCTATTAAAGATTTTTTGGGCTCTTAGACATCTCAGTGTACAGATGAATGATAAAAGATTTTGACCACACAACCGGAATCACATAACTCCATTTTTGCAGGGAACAACATGAAGTCAGGCCTCTTAATTTCTCTTGTGAGTTGTGACTTGGCAGCACCATGAGACGGCCATCGTTTTCGCTTTTCAGAAGAAGAGTGGTAGGATAAGGTAAGGACCAGATCAAATTGAAAACGACATCGTGTTTCCCTTTCATCTTCGTGTCGAGTGTCGACTGACCAATCTGGATGTGGAAGATTGCTTCGGAATAAAGAAATGGAGGGCAATAGTCAGCCAGATTAGATGCACCGCAACAGCAAGCCTCCGCACCAGAAAGTAAAGCAGCAAGCATCAGAAAGCAACCCCTTTCCTGCCCTTTAGTTAACCCATTAACTACCGCTTGTTTCCTCTTCCTTCTTCTACTTCTTTTTTTCTTTTCACTTGCTTTCAGCTCATCAAGTAGCAGCCTCCACCGCCACCGCTACTCGCCGCGGACAATGCCATCGTCTTCAAAGCTTCCCCTTTTCCTCCTCTTCGCTCTCTCTGCTATTCTCTTCATTCGCCCAGCTCAATGTGGTAAGCATTTTGCTTTCTTTTTTGAACTATGTTCTTGAGAGTTGAAGTTTCAGCTCTAAAAGGAGAGATCTTTTTTTTCCACTCCCTTCTCTGGCTTGTTCTGCTGGTTCTTTTGTTGATGTTAGTGACGGTGGACGAGATCTGGGTTCTAATCGTGTGATTGATTGATCTGGGTTTCCATTGGTTTTTAGTGGGTTGACCTATGATTGACACTTAGCTTGGGTTTTGCTGAACTAGATTATAGATTCCTCTAATGTATAACCAAAACCTTGAATAGGCATTTCTTAGTGTTAAAGCTGAATCCAGCTCTCTTATGGTCGGAAATTTTTCTTATTTGAATAATTTGTGGTTTGAGTAGGATTACCTGTCTAGGGTAAGTTATCCATTTCTAGTGGGTACTTCATATGCTAACCTACTCCTTCAATGACAAGTAATCTAGCTGGCTACTACTTTTGCTTTGCCTTCAGTTTGGCTGACCAATGGAATCCAGATAGTCTCAAAATTTTGGGCATTCTGAATGGAAATGTGAGCTTGATTTGATACATACTTGATCCAATCGTCGAATCATGGAAGTTCCAGTTTGCTTTCCGCCTCATTCACGATCCCAAGTTGTTTGTTTGATATAATTCAGCTCCTTTAACTGACTTCAATGCTCACTATGCAGCTCATAAGGAGGTTTCTGATAAACTTGTTCTTTACTTAATCTGCAGATGAGGAGGATAAGCTTCTTCAGAGCATCAATGACTACAGAAGGTCCTTGAATCTCACCGCCTTAACAAAGAACGACAATGCAGATTGCCTTGCGGGGGAAATAGCCGATCAATTTGAAGGTCAACCTTGCACAAACACCTCGGGGTCCAACACTGTTCCAGGAACCGAGCCTCAGCTCCCCAATTACCCAAGGCTTCTGGACAAGTGCCATCTGAATGTCTCCAACACCAGGGATGGAGCTGTGATGCCTGCTTGTGTTCCCAACTTGGACCCAACTCTCGTGCTTAGCAACTTTACATTGAGTCAGTACTCCGATAATCTCAATGATACCAAGTACACAGGAGTCGGCATTGGGTCTGAAGGTAACTGGATTGTTGTTGTTCTTACCACAAGCACTCCTGAGGGAAGCTTTGTGAAAGCTTCTTCTGACAGTGTGTCGGCTGGTTTCACGACTGCTGCCACTCTGGTTTCCCCGTTGCTGCTTCTGCTGTTGGCATGCTTGCTTTTGTTGTAAACGAGGTTGCCTTGTCGGGATGTTTCTCTACTTACTACTTATATAAACTCCACCGAGTTACACTGTTCCCTTTTAGGGAAATTGAGATTTTCTTTTCTAGCTTGTTTGTGCAACGGACGGTATCATGAAGAATGCCATGTTAGATTCAACAGATAGAAATCTATACAATTTCTTTCATGAAGGATAAACGGAGGCCCGTTTCAGATTCTGTATCTTTATCCTTCATATGTTGCATGCAGGAATTGCCATGGTACAATTTAGAGCAAAATGGAATAGGACATTCTTCATATGTTGCATCTTTTGTAAGTTCTGAACGAGACTAATCAAACACATAGTAATTTGCCACAAATGACTGAAGTCATCAATAACAAACTGTAAGATGGCTGCCAAAAATACGTTCTCATGTAAAGTGGCCAAACTAACTGCAATCAACCCTTCTTCATGCTGGTGTGTTGGATGAACAGGTACTTCCTGAGAGCCAATATAAGGATCCATGTCGACTTTGTTAATTTCTCTTTCACCATCAGCAGCAATGCAGAACTAAGTATCGTCTTCACGTGCTGTGCTAACAATCCTTTGAAGAAACCCGACAAACCTTCTTGTTTCCAGATGGCACTTGTGACACCCGAGATAGTCCTCTTGTTTTTTTAGCAGAACCTCTGCAGTTCCATTCTCATCTGGTTCTGCAGCTTGAAGCATCACTTTGCATCTGCCACAAATACTATCACCGAGAAGCTTTGAGCATTTTGCCTATACCTAATTGCAGGGTAAGTGAAGGTGGTGGCAGTACACTTAGCACCAGCACCAAGAACAAAAGCAGCGAAGGCAGAAAGTGTTTCAGGATATGTATTTGCAGCAGCTGATCTCTCCTTAAGCTTCCGCTTCAGTAGCCTCTGTTATCAACTGATCAAATACAGTGCACTGCAGCAAAACAAACCAACCCTTCATCATCAACCAACCCAAATGCCAAATGCAGTTGTCCAGTCGACAAAAGCAGAGAAGGAGACTTCACCGAGATTGCAGGCTTGGCGCAATGGCGCCTGAAGTAGCGTCTGACAACGACTACAGATCAACTGGGCAGCCATGGCTGCAAAATGCGGTGCTACTGAGGTTGCAAGCAAGCAAGCAGCGATGAGTAGTTCTCTCTAGACGGCGTCAACTAACCCAACCAAACGGCGTCTGTAAGATACTTGAGATTTCCGTGTTTGGGGAGGATTACGCGCCTAATCGGGATTATGTATATTATTCGAATTCCAATCCTAATCTTTTCATTCCTTTTCTTAATTTGCTTTCCCTTTCCGTTTTGTCTAAGGACCGACCGACTGCCCCTCTTGTATTATAAATCACCTTCATCAGGTCCTTAAACTCGAAAGTCAGTTAGCCTCCGAATTAGGGTTTCAGTTCTGCCGTTCCATTTCCGAATGGGAGATCCCGCCGATAGAGTCCGAGTTTCGCGAGAGTTTCGATCGATTCCAAGCTTTGATCGAGAAAGAAGGGAGATGTGGAAGCAAGAGCTTGATGAAGAGCTGGAAAATTTCAGAAGCATCCTTGGAATTATGCCTCGGGAAATCAGCAGCAACGATGGCGTAGCTTGGCTGGAAACAGTTCACCTGCCGACCGGCGATCAGAAGAGGAGGTGGAAGGAGGAGCTTGAGGAAGAGCTTCGTGTGCTGCGGCTAAATCCGCACAGCAGGAACACCTCTTCGCCGCCGCCGCCGCCGACCACGGGAAGTACGTCATCCGAGCAACGGAGAAGGTGGAAACAAGAACTTGCGGTAGAGATGGAGAGGCAATGATATGCAGGGAGCTGTTCATAAGTTCGTTGTAATTTCAAGTTTGAACCTTTTTCATGAACTGAATCGAAAGATTGAAGTTTTGTTTGTTTATCCATTAAGACTAAGGAATAGGTTTGGTGCCGAAAAACCGAACGGTACAGTTAGCACTTAGCAGTGGAAAATTTTGGAACTAGCAATGCTGCAATGGAACGAAATCGTTACGGTATCTCTATCCCAATACCAAATACCGAAATCTCGAATACTGAATTACACGCTAAAATCAATCCCAATCCCAATTCCTAAATAATTTCAGTATCCCAATCACAATCCCTAAATAATTTCGGTATCCCAATCGGTATTATCGAATACATAATTAATTACCTTTGGAATTAATAATTAAATATAAAAATGAGATTTTATTGTTTAATTTAGGACAAAGAGACTAAGCAAATAGTCTTGAGTTGCCTAGAGCTAACATCTCAAGTTCTTGTAATTGGTAATATTTAATTTGACGAATTTGAGGTTAAGAAACGACTAATACTAGTGTGAAATAGTGATGTAATGATCTATGTATAACTAAAGGGTTAATTGCATGGTTGGTCACTGAAATTACAAAAAGCGTTCATGTTTGGTCACTATAAATATTTAAATCCAGTTTTGGTCACTAACTTTACAAAAACCGTTCATTAATGGTCACTCTCCGTTAGCTGCCGTCCAACGCCGTCCGTTAAGTGATGACGTGGCTGACGGATTTGCCTAATTAGCACTTTTTAACCCCAAAATTGACTAACCCGACCCGCCACGTCATTTAAACCCGCCATGTCAGCTAAACCTAACCAAACCTCTACCCAAACCCGACCAGACCCGCTAACTAAAACCAGACCAGACCCCCAAAATTGTTTGACTAAAACCCTAATCAAAGACTGCCTCCATCCCGCGCAGCCTTCCTCCCTTCCCGATCACCTTCTTCTCGATCGAGTTACCGTAGCTCCGGGTCGTCGTAGAAGGTGGAGTCGGGCGGGTCGAATCTGAGAGAGCCGGGCGGGTGCAGCCGATGTCGCTGAATACCCTGGGCATGAAGCTGTTGCCGCCGCCAGAGTCGGCGGGGCTAGCGTAGGACCAGAGGCACCAGACGAGTAAGAAGGCGAAGACGGCACCGCCCATGTAGAGGCAGCCATCGTTTGTCAGAGGAGACAGCCTGTTTCTCGAAGAGATGGAAGATTTCGCCATTAGGGAGTACTCAGATCTGGAAGAATAACCCTTCGTAAACGATGACTTCAAATTCCCCAATTCACCAAGCTCTTCAGGAACAGAGCCCGTAAGCCGATTGTTCCCCAAATGTAACCATTCCAATTTCTTCAATTTCCCAATCCCTTCCGGTATTCTTCCTGATAGCTTGTTACCATTCACCGCCAGAATCGAAAGCTCTGTAAAATTAACGACCGATTGCGACAACGATCCGCCGAATATGTTTTTACTCATGGAAACCAACTGTAAGCTCGACAGGTTGCTGAAAGTGGAAAGGAAATCGACATCACCGGCTTCACCGGTTCCAAGCAAGTTATCCGCAATGCTCAGCCACCGCAGCTTGTGCAGCTTCTCCATTGACGGCAGTGTTCCAGAGACTCTGTTCCTAGCAATTGTAAACTTCTCCAAGTTGGAAGCATTGGACAGCGAAGGAGGGATTTCGCCGGTGAATCGATTCTCGCAGACGCTGAACGCGATGAGATTCGGGAGAAGGTTGCCAAATTCCGAGGGGATCGTCCCTTGGAGCTGGTTCTGTGGGAAATATAGAATGCTCATGGAAGAAATGTTGTAGATGGAAATTGGGATGGTTCCGGTAAAAGAGTTTCCTCCCATTGAGAGGAAATACAGGTTCTTGAGGTCGCCCAGTGTTTCGGGGATCGTTCCTCCGAGGTTGTTGAAGTTTACCGCGATTACTTCCAGAGAGGAAATATTACCCAGCGATGGAGGGACGACGCCGGTGAGATTGTTGTATTCGAGAATCAAATCCCGGAGCTTCGAAGTACCGACGACCGGATCCGGGATGTTTCCGACGAGCTTGTTTTCGCCGAGCAGTGTGCATAATAATCTCAGATTCGACCCGCCCGACTCCACCTTCTACGACGACCCGAAGCTGTGGTACTCGATCGAGAAGAAGGCGACCGGGAAGGGAGGAAGGCTGCGCGGAATGGAGGCAGTCTTTGATTAGGGTTTTAGTCAAACAATTTTGGGGGTCTGGTCTGGTTTGGTTTTCGTTAGCGGGTCTGGTCGGGTTTGGGTAGAGGTTTGGTTAGGTTTAGCTGACATGGCGGGTCGGGTCAGTCAATTTTGGGGTTAAAAAGTGCTGATTAGGCAAATTCGTCAACCACGTCATCACTTAACGGACGCCGTTAACGACGTTGGACGGCAGCTAACGGAGAGTGACCATAAATGAACGCTTTTTGTAAAGTTAGTGACCAAAAGTGGATTTAAATATTTATAGTGACCAAACATGAACGCTTTTTGTAATTTCAGTGACCAACCATGCAATTAACCCTATAACTAAATGACACTTTTGGTGGTTTAGGATCGCGTAGTAGTGAATGAGAGAGTCTAGTTGAGAGGATAAAATACACACTAGCTTATATTTCGGTATTTCGGTATATACCGATCCCAATCCCGTAATCCCTAATACCGAATAACAATTGAAATTCAATCTCAATCCCATAAAATAATACGTGTGTTCGGTAATACTAAATATAGACAAATTCGGTACGGTATTCGGTACATTCCAAATACCGGTACCAAACTTCCAACCCTAAATTGGTAATACTATTTGGAAGCAGTTTGAATGGGTTTTTATTTTCAATTCTTTTTATTTTCAGATGCCTAAATTGGTATGTTTGAAATATTATTTGGAACTTTACCAAACATTTTGGAAGTGAAAATGAAGTAGCACAGTAACTAAAGGCGATACAAGCCAGGAGCGGGAATACATATGCCCTCTTCTATCTAAATTCACAAACGACTTTAACCTGGCTGACATAGTTGGTCGCTCTCTCTCTAACTTTAATTCAAAATTTTCCTCTCATCTCTCTCTACCTTTTCCCTTGCTCTGAAGCTCCCCAGGGCTGCCGCCGGCATCTCTTGGTGACCGGTGGTAACCCATCCCCTTTTCTTTCTTCCTGCTACCTCTTTTTGCTTCCCTGTCTTTGTTTCTGATTATTTTCACTATGTTTTTTCAGCTTTCAAGCTTTTCAATCAATTCTTGGCATTTTGCTCCCCTGTTCTAGGGTTTTTTGCTGGGATTTGCTCTCCTTTGGGGCTGGGTTATGCAACTTGGGTCTTCTCTCATGATGGTCGGTTTAACAGCTTATGTGGTGAATCGATTCTCTGGTTTTCCCCTTCGTTCTTCCCAGGTGGTTGTTCTGCATCTTGGTGGCAGACGGATGATGGATTGCAGTGTCTAGCCTTGCTGCTCATGGGTTCAGTTCTTTGATCGGGGGATCTGGATTCTTCTGCTTCCCTTGACCAAGTCTTGGAGCCTCGTCTTCCCCTGCCTCTTCAGCTCGGAGCATTTCGATCCTCATCTCTGTTCACCGCCATGTAATCCCTCACCCGTGATTCACTGTGTTGAGCGTCTTCGAGCGACTCCCAGGAGGCTGCTAATGACATTGTGTTCAATCGTCATGGACTCGGTCGGATTGGACGAGCTGATTGCGCTTGGTGCTACTTCGTTTGTTTTGATTGCAAGAGAGTTTTCGGTGTATACTGTTTTTGGTTCAAGTGTTTCACATCCTTTGTTGGATGGCTCTTTCTGGGTTTTGTGCTCTTCTTGCTGCATCTCTGAAGCGTTGATTGAGCATCTATGTGCTTATGTTTCTCTGTTCTTGTTCTATTTTTGGTTTGCTCTGTTGGTTCTCTTGTAATCGATCATTCAAAGTGCAATGCAAGTATCCCTTTGTCAAAAAAAAAAAAAATTCTAAATCCACCAAGGCATTCTCATGAGCAACAATCATGGCCAAGTTCTGCCATTATATCAGCAACCATGTTGGCTTGTCGTAGTGTGTGACAGTTCTATTTCCCAAGACTTTTGTAGCATAGTCTGACAGTCGGCAATAATCATTCCAAGAGAGTGAAACAACTCTTTCTCGGAGAGGATAAGGTTGATAGTTGTTGCTGAACCCGAGTGCACTAACACTTTGCGGGTAACTCAAAACCCATATGAAGGAGAGACTATCTATGTTGAAATTGATAATTTCTCAATTTTAGGTGATTGTGTTTGGGCTCCAAAAAAGTTAATGCACATGTTCTAATCCAGTATAAGCCATGTGCTAATCAATTGTAAGGCCAAGTCCAATGCAAAACCCCAAATTTGGGACCTTCATCCTTAAATTTGGGGGATTGATCCCCATTTTCTCTTCTTTTGCTCCAATCTCCATATTTGGAGATCTTAAATTTTCCAGTTTTTTCATTTACTTAAAAATGTATTTATCGAAGCCTTAATATAATTTATTCATTTTAATTTTTGTATAGTTCGTTATCATTTTTAAATACAAAATTTTCGATAGAATTTTGTTAAATTCCGAGACCAAATTTTTTTGGCGAAAAATTGTGGACCTAATTTGGGTTTACACACAACACTTGAAAATTATTGATCTAATAAAACCCCTAAATAATCTCCTAAGTAAACCCCAATTAACCCCTAAAATCTTAAAAAGAAAAAGAAAATCCACGTGACGGGCTGTGGGGAGTCTCTATATTTGGGGAAACCCACATTTTCACCCCAAATTTGGGGATCTTTTTACATATCTCCCCCAAATATAGAGACTCCTCAATTTATAGAGACTCCATTTGAGCCAATTTTTCCCAAATATAGAGACTCCCCATTAATAGAGGCTCCATTGGAGTTAGCCTAAACATTGCAATGAATGATCTCCAAAAGTCTAATTTTGTGGCATATTGGCCAATTTAGTTGCATACTAAATTTTGTAGTCGCAACTAAATCACACCAGTTTTTTGTATTATAGTGAAATCGTTTTTTAATAAATAAGTAATTTTATTTTATCAAAATACTATTACAATCATATAAAATTTTTACAAACAAATCATATCAACCTGGCAAACACATACCCGCACGATATTATCCAACCTGACACGCATTTGGTGTAGGACAGTTATAAATATTGAGGTACTTATACCATCATTAAATATGGATATCGATATACATGTCCCAATCTCTCCCATGCGTTGCTAAATCCTTGGGCCCCTAAGAAGTCTGATTAATGGGCTTGATGTTTAAGCTACAGCTGCGCGGCTCAGTTTTTGGGTGGGAGGGCCCATTAAAGTGTTCCCACTTCCGACAGTGACGTCCAATCCATGATCAATTTCTGGGGAAAGCAAAAAGAATCCATGATCCAACGGCTGCTATAACAAATATTGATGTCAACTAAATCTGGGCCATAAACATTTTCGTTTCAAGTTCAAAAAAAAAAAAAAAGGGAAGAAAATTTCTGCTCTAGAACCCTAGATCTTCTTCTTCGACTCGATAATTGGTACTGGTAATCTTCGGCCCAAGAACCCTAGAGCTCCTCGCTCTCTGACTCCGGTGTTGCTTACTGGTGCAAAGAGGCTGCAGGCCTTGAGCGCCTCTGCTTCAGGTACTTCTCTTGCTCGCCGGCATGAAATCTTCAAAATTTTCCTTTCCTTCTCTGTCTGGGGAACTGCCGCAACCGAGTGGGTTGGTGTTTGCGGAAGAATACCGTGAAAGAGAGCAATAGTTGTCTCTGGAATTACTGCTCGTTAACTGGAAGTGATAGGGTTGTGTTAGCTTTTTGGCTTCCCGCTTAACATAGACGAATAGATCGTATGAGGATGGATAATCAAATTTAGTGTCTGCGATCATCGGGGGTTGGAGATCCTGGAATTCGCTTTTCTTTGATGCTTGAGGTTGCACTTCCATGGGTGATTCTCGTTGCTTCAGTTTAGATCCAGCATTCTGTTGACGTATTCGCTACGGTTTTGTGGCTTCAATCTGTCTTACATGTCTCCCCCTTTCTTCTTTTTATTTGGAATTCAATTGAAGCACTATGAATGCTAGAGAATTGTCAGGTGTTGATCAATTCGTAGAGATTGATTGAATCTGTTCTACAATTTTCATTGTATCACTCTTTGGTGGTCATTAGATGGCAGGATTGTCTGATCGAGGTTACTGTTCTTTTTCATTCAATGCTTTCCGGATGGGTTTGGTGGTAATGGCTATCGTTGTAGAACATTCTTTATCAATGTCATATTTTCTCCTGATCTGGCGATGCAACGAATCTGCAGGTTATGGCCTGTGCAAGATAAGCAGCAAAACATACATCATAAGAGTTTCCACGGAGTTTCTTTGACCAAGAAGTTGGTCAATGGCAGAATCTGTATCAAATTTTTGGGGTCCTGTAACATCAACAGATTGGTGTGAGAAGAACTATGTCCACTCCTCGTATATTGCAGAATTCTTCAATACTGTATCAAATGTTCCAAGCATAGTTTTGGCATTTATCGGCCTCGTAAGTGCCTTGGGACAGCGGTTTGAGAAGAGGTTCAGCGTGCTGCATATTTCCAACATTATACTTGCCATTGGGAGTATGTTGTACCATGCAACGCTGCGACATGTGTAAGTATTCTATCCTTCTGCCAATGTTCTTGAAGATCTATAGAATGATTTGCTATCAATTTTTTGTTGTTGTCTTGCAACAATGTAACTGAAGTAGTGCAAGCTAGTTCCCATGTAGGTAGTGGATAGATTTATGGTCGTAACTGATGGTAGTGGTGGTGGTGTTGCGTCTGCTGCTCAATGTCTGCTAGGGTGTAATTGTTAGTCTGTTTCAGCTTTCAAACAATGGTGCTTTACCTTCTTGTTTAGTTGCTCGACAAAGAATGTCATGCCCCCACGTGTGATATCAGTCTCCATAAGAATGATGTAGAACTTGGTTTTTCTATCTGAAAGTAGGTTAGTTGATTCTGTTATTTTCACTTGAATTGGCTTGTTTGAATTGAAACTCAGGCTACTAAAAAATATCTGCAGGCAACAGCAAGGTGATGAAACACCAATGGTTTGGGAAATGCTATTGTACTTCTACATCCTCTATTCTCCAGATTGGCACTACAGGAGTACAATGCCTACATTTTTGTTCTTCTACGGGGCAGGGTTTGCAGTGATCCATGCGCTGATGCGCTTTGGGATCGCGTTCAAGGTGCACTATGCAGTCTTGTGTCTCCTCTGCATCCCTAGAATGTACAAGTATTACATCTACACGAAGGACGTGGATGCAAAACGGCTTGCAAAGTGGTACGTGGCCACCATATTCCTGGCGACGCTTTGTTGGCTTTCCGATAGGGTATTCTGTGCCGAGGTTTCACAGTGGCGGTTCAATCCCCAAGGGCATGCAGTTTGGCACGCCCTGATGGGCTTCAATTCGTACTTTGCGAACACTTTCTTGATGTTTTGTCGTGCAGAGCAGTTAGGGTGGAACCCTAAAGTTGTCTATGCCCTGGGGTGTCTCCCTTATGTGAAGGTTCAGAAGCCAAAAGCTCAGTGAAGAATGTAGCAAGCAAGTAAACGATCGACAATGCTCTCTGTTTGGCCGCTTAGGTTTAGGGTTACATTTGTTTTGGACTGACAGGCAAACAATAGCAAGCAAACACGTGTATTTTTAATTCCTTATTACCTACCTGCCCTCATTTTTGTCCCATAACTTTTTCCTTTTGTTTTGGTTAAATGGATGTGTAAATGATACTTGTATGGTGATTGGTGACTTCACATGTTGGATTTTTAATCTTTGGTCCGTTCTTATAGGATCTGTTTGGTTGCAACTTCCATTGTTTGGTCAATACTCCCAGCAATCGAAAGCCAAAACTATTTCTTTTCTTCCCCTAGTCAAATATGCTTATCTTAGACAGTAAGCTTCACTTAATTCCACCATTGACATAATGAAAACCACAGGAATATTAATCCAATTATTTGGAATAGAATATCTCGCCAGTGATCTAGCGACCCAATCAGTTCAAAGTATTAAACACTCTAGGCACACACTTGACCTTAATTTGAGGGTTCAAATTAATGATAGAAATCAACACCGCGAAGTTTCCACCGGTAACATGTTCACTTTGTTCACACTTGATGCAAGATATTATGCAGTTGGAAATGGAAAAGGGCCTTGGATCTCGAAGCTGTACAGGTGGGGAACTGGTAAATCTCTTGTTGCATTGCTTCTGTTCGTAGGTGCATGTTTGCTAGTTTTCTGAGCGAGATGATGGTTAAATGTACAGTAGGGTTGGCTATACGGTCCGGTCCGGTTAAATTGGACCAAATTGATCCGGTCCCAGTCCGGTCTTTTCGGGAATATAAGGACCAAAGATTGGAGTGGATACAGTCCGGTCTTGACCCGGTGCGGTCCCAATTTGATCTTGATTTTAGGTGTTGGGGGTCTCTTATCCGGGTTTTTTTTAGCTCAATTCTAAGACCGAATATGAGTTTGGATTGTTGCTATCCGGTCCCAGTCCAATCCCGATCCGGGTTATACGGTCCGGTTTAGGGTAAAACCAAACAGTCCGGGACCAAATAGCCAGGCCTAATGTACAGGTAGTGTTTAATCAGCTGGGCTTCAAAGAAAAGTGCTAATTATGAAGAAAAGAATCTTTCGCAAAGACATTTTCAATTTTTGATAACATCCAATACATTTAAAATAAAAAAATCTTGAAATTGATACATTGTCATCAATGCATGCATAATAATATACATGTATATAAAAAAATTGATGTATTGTAGTTTACATCATTTGATTTCTGTGATAGTTATTCAAATATTGTAATAAGTTATATTACTTTTTCGATGAAATGTCACTTTTGCCCTTTGTTTTTAATATTATAAAAGCAACACACATAAAAGGTAGGGACATAGTTGGAACAAAACAAACCCAACAATCTCTACCAAACAATCTTAACCAAAACTTGAAATTTAACTATCACTCATTTTGAGTGATAATTTGTGTCAAATCAGGCAAACAATGCATGCACTTTTTTGCAAAAAATAATAAAAAAACGATGCATTATGGGCAATGCATGTATTATAACTATCCTAACGTAGCTATCACCGAAACCAAACTAACTTAGAATCTGGACACTAACAACAACATTAGGCAATTATATAAGTCTTACCGAAATAATAAGAAAAAAGTCGAGAAAAGTTTTACAATAAAAAATTAAAGAAAAGTACTATATTAAATTTAAGAAAGCCTAATTAATTTAATGCTAAAATTAAGAGGGGAGGTCGGCAGCTTCACCACTGGATCCAGGGTCCATCAAATGCTAAAAGAATCCGAATCTAACAACTTCTATATAAAGAGAAACACACTGCTGAGAGGTTGAAATCCACACACAGAAAAAGAAAGAAAGAAAAGAATATAGGAAAGAAGAAGAATGAAGATTAGTAGATTACCGTAGTGGCGACACTACAAACAAGGGATTGGTCTAGTGGTAATACCATTAGTCATAAACCGGAGGTCGCAGGTTCGAATCCCTTCAGTAATACCTAATAACAAAAAAAATAACCTATATCACCATGTAGTGGCGACACTACTCTAGTCTTGGTAGTCTCACTGCATGGGATGGAACTAGAAGGTGTTCAGACTCCGTTTTGCCAGGAGCAAGGCGAATCCAACGCAGCTAACCATGTTTCAGTTGCATCTTGTGGCCAATGCTTAAAGGTAAATCCAGAGTCATATAATCGTCGACAATGTCATAAACCAATTGATCTCAATAGGGGTGGAGCGCCCAAAATTTGACAATCGGAAGCACACTTTTTTTCTTTATATGTTATAGTAAAAGGCTGAAAATCACTAATACAATACCATTTTTTTATTGTACTATAATCACACATAAGAAAGGATCACCCTAAGTTCAATATATATAAATGAGATAAAATGCGTGCAAAAATTGCAATTAAAGTAGTAAAAGATGCGGCAGTCCTTTAAAGTGGTAAAAATTAGAAATCTAGGGGAATTTATTCCGCTAAGAGTTACATGCTCATTGTTTTTTATTTATTTATATAAGTTTAGTTTTTTATGGTTTAAATACTATTTTAGTGATTTGAACCTGAGACTTCCGGGTCGAAAGCTAGTGGTTTATGTTTATTGTTTGCCTGATAATTTATTTTATATATTGTTTTAATTTATATGTATAATCCCGAATCATTTATGCTTCACTTTCAAGATTATCGTGGGGTCGGGACCTTCCAAGGGTCGTTGTAACTGCGCTCCTGTGTCTCAATAACTCGAGTAGTTGGGACTGGACCATGTATGGATTTTAAAAACTTCTTTACATGCCCCCTCAAATGAAAACCAACTCATCGGTTTGAAATTTGCAGAGGCCCGACATATCAATTTGGTCTAATGGTTAATATTGTGGGTCGTGAGAACTTAAACACGTGATCTCAACGACAAACTAGCTCTGATACCATGACATAAACAAACTGGTCTCAATAACTTGAGTTGTCGCGAGAGGTCCATGTATGGATCTTAACCACTTCCTTACAATATAATATTGGGTTAATACCTTAATTTGGCCCGAACTATATACATACTTTCTACTTTGGCCCGTGGTATTGGAAATTGTTATTCTGGCCTGAACTATGTAGCAAACTTCCTCATTTGGCCTGGAGGCGGGTTTGACCGTTAAATTAGACGGCCAGACTTGTTGACCGTTAGTCAATGTCCACCTCACCTGCCACGTCAGCTTTGAGGACATAAATTTTTATTTTTTTTATTTCTGAATTTTGTTTTCTTGTCATTTGCTAAAAATGAGACCTTTTTTTGTTCTTTTAATTAATTTTTTTGATTTATAATTTTTATTAAACAACAATACAACAATACAACCTTTTAAGTACGAAGGCTCTACTGCTTGCACTCAATGACCAACTCCCACAAGGCCAAACAATTTGGCTTCATTTGGAGAGAAAGGATACTATAAGTGGATGGGAACGGCCCAACACAACACTTGAAAATACATTCAAGTGACCATGGTCCTCTCCTCCCTTAGATCCAAACTGTAATCGAGTATGTATTTTTGTGTTCGGGTATGTATTTTTATGTTTCTAATATGTATTATTGTGTTTTTATATTATTATCTCATAGCGATTTTTCATATTGCGGGAATATCTCGGATTATTGTACCAGCAATATATGCAATAAGCCAACGTATATTCTTTGCGAGCCTAAAAGAAAGCCATGTACATATCTTAATGAATACGGATGGATTTGAAAGCTGTGAGCATTACTTGTTCTTCGCACACAACCAATATCTCGTTGCATGGAATGAAACTAGAAGGTGTTCAGACTCCTTTTTTTTTTTTTTTTTGTGCGTGTCTAGTTAAAGTAAAGAGGATATGATCCATTCAAAGTTAAATGATAAAAGTAAATCTTAGAGAAAAGAGATAGAATTAAGGGGTCTGATTTAGTGCATTTTTTTCGTAATTTCATAAACATCTCTCATCCATTATTAGCGATATTTTAGAAATTGTAACACACCATTTGATCAGACCTGAAATACCGGATAGTGGACCCGAAATAGTAGGCAACTTTATTGTATGAGATTGTTGAACCAGAATTGAATCTTGATTTTAGTACAAAATACCCTACAATTGACTTTTCTGGTTTAACCTCAAGTACGATCTAAACTTTGATTAATATCCATAAGATATATTTAATTATCTTTTCCTAATTTTCCACATCTCTCACTTAAATTCAATGGTTGTGGGTTAATTTTGCCATCATAACTAAATTAGAGTTTGGCGGATTAGAATTGAGAGGGGAGTTTGTTTTGGGTTTTTATTATTATTGGGACTCATTTGGTGTGGTAATGTGGTGCGGCCGATTAAGTTAGGTTTGTTTTGAATTGTTGTAATTAATTTTATTATTAGGGCTGCCGCGTAGGGTTTGGGGTCGATAATTTTGAGGGGCTAAGATTAGGTAACTAAGGGAGCTCCTTAGTCACATGACTAAGTCAATTTCCATCCTTGCACCTCATTAAAATTCAATGGCCAGATTAATCCAATTTAATAAAGGATAATATAGTAATTGCATGATCATTTAATTTATTAATTTATATAATAAACAAAGATAAATCAATTTGGCCGCTGCTGCTTTCCAACTTCCGCGGTTCCCCCGGACGGAAAAATTTCCTGCCGGCTAAGGTTTCTTTTCCGACGTGTCCTCTAGTCGGCAACGACTCTAATTTGCGGTTGTTGTACATTTATTTTGCGGCAGGAGACATGGGGAATGAATTGTCTCAGGTGAACACGAGAGAGAGATGAAACCTAAGCACATGAAACCTAATGTTGCTTTGTACTGTTTGTCATTTATTTTGTAATGTTTGTAAGCTTTCTTATTTTGTAATGTTTGTCAGGTTCTTTTGTAATGTTTGTAAACTTTGTTATTTTTGTATGGATAGAACTCCTCTATATAGGGATGGAGCCTCCAAAATCAACCTGGGTGTTTTTTCCAGTTTGTATGGATTGTCGGTCTAGTTTGTCATTTTTGTCCACCATATTCGTAATGTTTGTATGTCTAAAAAACAGCCGGGTTGACTTTGGGACGGAGCCCTCTATTTAGGGATGGAGCCTCCAAAGTCAACCCAATTTTTTTTTCTTTTTTGTATGGTTTGTATTGTTTGTCGGTCTAGTTTGTATTGTTTGTACAGTTCATACGTCTGTAATGTTTGTAAATATGTTTGTATGTTTTGTCGTTGTAGTTTGTATTGTTTGTATGGTTTGTACTGATTGTAATTCTGGTTTGTATACTTCATAATTTTCCATAATACCCAAACTACCCCTGTCATTAATTAAATAGCCCTTCCCACTTTTTTAACTGTCAGATTGCTGTGTCCAGATCTAAGGGCTGGGAGGGGCTTAGCCAAGTGACTAAGCACCCCCTAGTCATGGGATCCACACTCAATCTTGAGGCCGCCATTAGACCAAAACATACCAAATTAACCAAATAAAGAGTTCCGCTATTATGTTTATAAGCAATGGTATTATCGTTTTAAGAAATATTTTCAATAATACAAATTCATTATGTACCTATATTTTTCGTAAAAATTGTACATTTCCCCCTGTTTTCTACTAAAAATTTGGTTGGTTCCTCTCTAAATTTTTTATTTCCCACTTTTTTTTTTTTTATGATAGATACCATTAAATTTCTTCTTTACAAATTACAACCATTAGATATGATTTTGTACTACATATATAATGGATAGTGTAGTATAACATATTCCTTCATTTAATGCTACAATTAAAAGGGGAAGGCAGGGGCCATACTAGAAGGTGGGCACGGGGCAGGTTCACCATTGAATCCTGAGTCCATTAATGTAGTGATGGTAATAGGGCGGGACGGGATGGGGCAGGCACCTCAATTCACATGCTCCGCCCCATGCTACTACGGGGTGTGGAGGGTAGAACTCGCGTGGGTACGGGGCGGGGCGACTCACACTTATATGTTATTTGAAAAAAATATACGCAAATTTTACTTTTTATGATTAAACGAAGGAAAAAACACTTCATGAATGAAAACAGTGAAAATAGAATGGGTAATTGAGTCTAAGGCTGGTATTCGGTAACCCGGTATTTGGTATAACCGGCTAGCGAACCAGTTATCGGTGGTATCCGGTATACCGAATACCGGCGATATCGGTATACGGCTACACAATTGTCCAAACGGTATACCGGATGTTATCCGGTAAAATACCGACGGGAAATCGGTATACCGTAATACCGAAACCCACATGGCAAAAACTGAAAACGCAGCGCAGCGGATTAGGCCATTGGGGTAAAAGAAAACCCTCAATCCCTAATACTAAAATCAGACCTCCCCTCCCCCCGTTGCACGCCACGCTCGACCCTCTTCGTCTCTGATTCTCTCCCAGTCTCCCGAAAGTCGAAACCCCAGGCATCTCCATCTTCCTCTTCTCCTCACCAGCCAGCAGCCAGCACCAATTCCCGAGGGAGAGAGCTACGCTGCCGCTTCTTGAAGCCGACGGAGAGTGGTTCAATTTCGACCATGCGACCATGATTGAGGATTGAAGCTGATGTTCGCTGAGTTCGAGGGCAGAGGGCATAGGCGCAGAGTTCGCTGAGTAAGAGTTCGAGGGCAGAGGCGCAGAGAAGCAAATGGGGCGGACTCAGTTTTTGGGATTCGGTATTACCAGTTTTATATCAATTATCGATTATCCGGTATTCGGTATACCGATTAAAATCCGGTATTGGTATTCGGCAACCATATTGTCAGTTCCCAGTATCCTGTATACCGGATACCGACCGACTACCAGCCTCAATTGAGTCTAACAAGTTGAAAAATCGACTCTAACTAGTTGAAGAAAAGTCAAAATAGGAGAAATATATATAGATACTCAAGATATAGTGAGATAAAATGGGTCTAGAACGGGGCAGGGCGGATCGAAAGTAAATAGCCATGCTCCGCCCCACGCTACTGCGTGTTCGCAGGACGGGTTCAAATTGCCATCACTACATTAATGCCCCAAATGAATCCAAATCTAACAACCCCTATATAAAGAGAAGCACATTGCTAAAGAGATTGAAATCTCCACACAAGCAAGAAAGAGATAATAAAAAAAAACAAGTAAATAAGAAAGAAGGAGAATGAAGATCACGATAGTGGCAGTTGCACTACTGGCAGTTGTCTTAGCGGCAGCTACTCAAATTCGTGGTGAAAGGTCTGACCATCGTTGTGGCCCTTGCTTCGATTGTGCTAAATGTGACGAAGGTCGTTGTTGTAGCGATGCGTCATACTGCGGGAATACCTCGGACTACTGTATTGGCATCTATAGCAGGTATAGCAGGCCAGGGTATCCCTGCTATCCTAGAGAGAAGCCGTGTACCGGTGTCTACAACAATATTAATGGATATGGATGGGATTTGAAAGCTGCGAGCATTTCCTGTTCTTCGCACACGGCCAATATCTCGCATCATGGAATGGAACTAGACGGCGTTCAGAGGCCGTTTTGCCTCGAGCAAGGCGAACCCAACACCGCTAACCGTATTCGTGCATCTTGCGGACAATGCTTGAAGGTAAAATTCTATGGAGTCGCATATGAAAAAATACTTACATGCGGGGCAGTAAAGGGGATTGGTCGCGCCAAAAGGTTCTTTTGCACTAATTGGTCGAAAAGAACCTTTTGGCGACTAATGTGTTTTGGTTTTTGCGACCACTTTTTATGGTAGCAAACACATGAAAACAGGGGAATTAAAAGAGATAAAGGCAACTAATTAACCATGTGATTTGATTTATTATATGTAGGTTACAAGCCGCAAAACTGGAACTCAAACAACGGTGAGACTTCCAACGGGCAACGAGTGCAACAACAAGGATTTGAAGTTGGGGAAAAGGGTTTTTGAGGAACTTCACAGCAATGGAGAGGGAAGTGATCAGAAGGGCCACCTTACCGTGGATTATCAAGTTGTGCATTGTGCTGAAGACTAGAACACTGATGGGCCTAATATACGTGACTCCTCCTTGATACAATGAGCTATATACTAAATAAATAATTTCGAATGTTGAATGCATATACCGCGAAAATATATGCAAAAAACGTTTGTTGTCATAATGACAATGGTAGTGTGATAAATAATCCGTAATGGAATACGGTTATAGGTTGTTAACTGCTATCGATCGATCTGCATCATAAATAAAATCATGATTTCGATACCAAGTTTACATTGAAGCTTTTTTGTTGGATGTTTGATTAGTGATTAGAAGGATAATTTGATAAATCATGATTGTCGGTATGAAATCACTGGCCTCAATTGAGTTAAGCCAATGACTTCGTTAACACTAAACAACAATACAACACACTCTTCTTCAATAGAGCAACCTTTTAATTACCAAGACAAGAATTGCTCATCCTCTCCGGCTATCCGCCTACTTTGGCGGTGCAGGACAAGGTGATGGTGGCAACAGGAGAGGCGGTCAGTCGGACAGCGACATGGAATGAATATCTTCGAGATAACATCTTAGGGGTCGTTTGCTTGTGGGATTTGGGTGATGGATTTGGAACCCAAATCCCAAGCATCATGGAGTTGACACAAATCCTTTGTTTGTTGAGGGACACAAATCCGCGGGGTCCACGGATTTGAACCCCTTTTTTAGATCCAAATCCGTGGACCCCACAGATTTGTAAATCCCACATTTCACTTGGGATTTGACAATAGAAGGAAAAAATGTGAGACAAATCCATCACAAATCCATGATAAAAAATCAACTAAACAAACAATGTACTCTTCCAAATCCATTATGCAACAAATCCATCATAAATCCAAAGATTTTTAAAACTCAAAACCTTCATTTTCAAATCCAACAAGCAAACGAGCCCTTAATGACTTACTTGCTTTCCAATGGAAATTGATTTCTTTTTTCAATAATGGAGTTGATGATGGAGTTTAAATGGAGAGTGACCAAAGCTAAAATATTAAATTAATTTTGGAAAAGAATCTACAAATATATTATAGCCGAGTTGGGAGCAGTTTTTCAGCATTTCAAATTTCCTGCAACGAGAGCGAAAATAGAAAGGGTAATTGTGTCTTCACAATCATTATTTATTTTTTATTCATAAGAAAAAAATATTAATCTCAATATTTGAACCATGGTCTTTCTAAACTAAGACAACAATCATTACCAATTACGCTAAAGAAACCTTTTGTATATTTTTAAGTAAAAAATCTAAAACCATGAACTCTAAAAATCGTATGACTTTTCCACTACTATTAGCTAGCCCACTAACTTTCCCATAAGTACTTTCTTTTGTTATTTGATATTTGAATTTTCATAGTTTGATTATTTTAATGAGTTTAATGATAAATTTAATTTTTGTCTATCTTATAAATGGAGGATAATTTTAAAATTGAAATCCAAATATCATTTATTCGAATACTACATATTGAATTCCAGTATTGAATGTGTAGATGTGATGTGAAATTCTTAACTTAGTATTAAGTTTTATAACTATTAAAGCAACGATTTTGTTATGCAAATGGTAAGTGACCAGATTTTTGAAAATTTTAGTTTGGTTTACTGTTAAATCTTCACTCTTTTGATAATATGGTATGATTAGACAAATGGATGAGTTTATATGTTAAATCCTCACTCTCTTGATAATATGGTTTACGGTTAATACCAATTTTCTAGATGATTTTAATTATTTAAATATATTATCTTGTAGGGTAACTGACCATATGTATCATTTATATGTACTTAGTTTAATATGAAATAACCGCAGTACAAGATAAATAATGAAAGTCGAGTTGGAGTTTTCATGGACGCATTGATGTGGTCATGTCCATTAGCAAGGTAGGTACCACAAGATAGGTTTAATTTTTTTGTTGAGCGAATAAGATTGTACTTCAACTAAATTTAAAGTATGTTGGTTGATAAATATTTATTTATTGCATACAGTATGGATGGAAAATGTTTTTTTTTTTTACTGATTTTGTTATTGTATTGTGCGGAATACTTTAAGGTTTAGATACTGTTATATATGTATTGTTTCTCAAGAATAAGAAATAAATATTGAATACATGTTATGATCATGAGTTTCCTATTTATGCTGTGTTTTTTCAGACAAACTCTTTTTTTGTTATGTCAATTTTCTTTTCAGAGTGACTACATCCTTAAATCGACAAGTTATGAATGGTTATTCATGAGTGTTATAACCAAGGTTGTTACACCTCTACTAGGCGGCTGGTTAGACTAGGTCCGACCAAACTCATGTTCCAAAACTAGCTCTACAAAACCAAGTGTCTGATAGTTAGAGAAGGAGAAGAAGAGAGAGGGAAGGGGGTGGGGGTGGGGAGAGAGAGGCAAGAGCATGGTGGATGGATCTTGAAATAAGTATATTTTCTTATGAAATTTGAGTTTTTAACAGAAAGTTATTACATTCCATTTTAGTCAATAAATTTCTATACTATATGTAAATATATTTAGAGAAGGTGTAAAATTGCTCAAACGAGCTGGACCTCAATCAAACCATTAAACTTCAAACTATTTGTTTGATCGGCTCAACAACTTAAACCGGTTTGATAACTTTGGTTATAACAATTAAGCTTACAATGTTCATCATTGATGAAAAGTTATAAGAATTTCGAAAAATATAAAAATAATTTCGATGTCACCTTAATGTCATACGAAATTTAGCATTTTAAGTAATTTAAATTTTTTAAATATACATCATACATACATTGTATTCAATAACATTCCAACCAATGGGTCAGACAACAAGCTAGTTTATTTTTAATAATCAAACGTAAAACTTTTTAATAATTCCAGTGACCGGCTTTGCGATTTATTCATTAATTATTAATTCTCTTTTAGAAAAAAAAGGAAAAAACAGGAGAGTCGCCTGCCTCGCCTTCGCTGTTCTAGTGTTCTCTCACTTTCCTGTGTTTGTTTTCTTTCCCTCTCCTTTCAAATTTCCTCTTCTCACTCCCCGCAATTGAAAACTCCACTTTGACATTTCCGCACTCAGCGCCTCCAACGGCTACTTTCCTTTCCACCCCTTTCCGCGGCCTCCGTTTCTCTCTACCCCTCCCACCGCCCTCTCCTCCATCGCCACAACGGAGTTTTCCAAGCAGTTGCGAATATGCAGGACATTTTCGGATCAGTGAGGCGGTCGCTGGTGTTCAAATCCACGGCGGCGACTTCAGTGGACGACGGCGGAGGAGGGTTCAGTGGATTCGTGGAGAAGATTGGGTCCAGCATTCGAAAATCCCGAATCGGCCTCTTCAATAAGCCCTCCTTCCCTCCGGCGCTTCCTTCGCCCAGTGGTAGGAAAGGGGACGCAGATGCGCCTTCGATCCGATGGAGAAAGGGGGAATTGATTGGTTGTGGTGCGTTTGGTAGGGTTTACATGGGGATGAATCTCGATTCCGGTGAGCTCCTCGCTGTTAAGCAGGTAAAACAAATTGCTGATCCAGTGATTCTTATTCTATCTTTTTCTGGGATTCCGTTTCAGTTGGCTTATTCAGTCCAAATTTCATGACTTTCCTCTTTTCTGGCGTTTTGGGGTTTTTGTGTGTGTAGGTTTTGATTGCTGCAAACAGTGCTTCCAAGGAGAAAGCTCAGGTAGAGAGGGCTGATTGTTGAATTCATTATTGTTTTGTGTAGCTCCAATGGAAACTGAAGTTGTTGGGGTATGTAATTGTTTGTTGAGAAAGCTTCTGTTTATTGGATTTGGTGTAGGCTCACGTTAGAGAGCTGGAAGAAGAAGTAAAGCTACTGAAGAACCTTTCCCATCCCAACATTGTGGTGAGTGTGCTTACCTACCTTTTATTAGCCCTCCCATAGTGATGTTTTGCCAAGTTAATGGCTTAAACCTCTTGCTTGTTTTTGTTGATCAGAGATATTTGGGAACTGTTAGAGAAGACGACTCCCTGAATATCCTCTTAGAATTTGTTCCCGGCGGGTCCATTTCTTCCCTTTTGGGGAAATTTGGTTCCTTTCCCGAGTCGGTGAGTAATTGCTGCCTGCCATTGCTGCAAGATTCACTTCTCAGCTTTTGCAGAAAGGCTATTCTTAGATTCTTACTTTCGAGCAGGTGATCAGAATGTACACTAAACAGCTATTACTGGGGCTGGCATACCTTCATAGCAATGGTATTATGCATAGGGACATCAAGGTACTTTTGATCTGAAACTTTAGCATGTATGATCGTTGTCCCGGTTATATTCTCTTCGTTAGTTGCTGTTATTCTAATATTTGAAGAGCTGTGGTGCAGGGGGCGAACATTCTTGTAGATAACAAGGGTTGCATTAAACTTGCCGACTTCGGAGCTTCCAAAAAAGTTGTTGAACTGGTATATATTTTTTATCCTATTGAATTCTCGAAACAGACTGTAGTCCTTGAAGTTCGGTTGCTCAAGTCTTACATTTGTGTACCAGGCTACTATGAATTGTGCCAAGTCGATGAAGGGAACTCCATATTGGATGGCACCAGAAGTTATCCTCCAGACAGGACACAGCTTGTAAGACGAATTGATTATGTTTTTCCGGATGATTTTGTTAATGGCTATTGACATGGTGACTGAAAAAAAAAAAGAATTTTCGAGATAGCTTTTCACCGCAGCAGCTTGGACAAATGAGTACAAATGTGCGGAGGTCGGCCCCTGTTGGGGCGTTTCAGTTTTTTCTGATATTCGAGTACAAATGAGTCGGCCTTGGTTCGCTGTCATCTTGGCTGTGCGTCTTACCTCTTTCTGATCTGTTTGAAGTTTTTCTTCCTTTGATTTTGTTTCTTTTTTCTTTTTCTCCTGGATCATGTCTCTTGATCCGGTTCTCCTTGTGTACAGTTTATTTCCTTAGTTTAATAAAATTTCACCATTATCAAAAAAAAAAAAAAACTTAGCAGAAATTTTTTAATCTGTTGTGTCAAGTGATGGTACTCCTGATCTCAATATGTCATAGATAATAATGGTATTGCTCCTTGCAAAGAGAGACAATTTCACTTTAAGCTTCTGTGTGCTTGAGTCTTTCGACTTCTATTTAGTAAATTGATTCTGCAAGTCAGCTGACTCACTGAATAGCTCATTTACTTTCCCATCTGTTTTCTAGCTCTGCTGATATATGGAGTGTTGGATGTACGGTCATCGAGATGGCTACAGGAAAGCCCCCATGGAGCCAGCAATATCAAGAGGTAAATAGAGATTTGTATTAACTTGACATTTTTCTACAATCTGATGTGAATGTAACATTGATGTTAACAATAGGTGGTTCACATATTTTTACTTCAGGTTGCTGCTCTCTTTCATATTGGGACGACCAAATCGCACCCCCCAATTCCTGAACATCTCTCTGCTCAGGCTAAAGATTTTCTATTAAAATGTTTACAGAAGTACGTTCTTCTGTCCTTTTCCTCCTAATTTTCAGATGTCCCTTCTTTTCATATATTTCAGTTGACATTTAAGGTCTTAACTGGAAGTTGCTCTAGAGCTCCCCAGGAAGAAAGTCTCTTTAAAATTAGCCTCGAGTAAACATTAGGATACTACCTCTGCTTAGTTCTTGATTACATTCTCATTTTCATGAGTCTCATATTCACCTGCTTGTGCTCTCAGGGAACCAGACTTTAGGGCCACTGCATCAGAGTTGCTGCTGGTAAGTGTTTATATTTTGGATATATGCAAGATTACTGTGGTTGAACCTTTAACTTTGAATTACCTCAATGAATAGAAGAAGTAATTCTGCTTGAGTACTAGTGCAGTCATGGAGTTGGGTGATTAGAGAAACATAGGCGAGTCAGATTTTTAACTTTTCATCCTTATTATATATGCAGCATCCATTTGTCACTGAGGATTATAATGAATCTACTTCGCAACTCCGTAGTTCACTCAGGGTATGTAATAGAAGACTTCCTTCTCTCTTTTTGTCTTCCCTAATTCTCTCTTCCTCACTGTTTTATTTTACATTCATTCATCTATTGACTCCAGGAATCAAGAAATTTGATGTCAAGCACCATGAACCTTAGGAACTCGTAAGCAGTAACTTAACTCCGCCATTTCTTACGAAATTCTTTTTCTGGTTTTGCTTATATGACATTTAACAAATGTATTAATGATGCAGCATGAACCCTTCAATCAGAAGATCGACCTGTGGAGGATTAAAGGATATTGGTGACATGGGTGGCAGTATGAGATCCTCAATGATATATCCTGAGAGCACATCAGGATCAGGGTCCTATTGGCATGGCACTTCTAATATAGATGATGATATGTGCCAGATAGATGATAAAGACGATTTCATGGTTGTTAGGACATCATCGAAGTTCAAGTCTGTCTTTTCGTCTACTGACTTAAATAAGGTAACAACACTATTTTTATTTGAACATTTAGTTGATGAACTTTGTATAGTTTAGGTTCAAGATAAGTAAGCAGAACAAATTCCTTTTTCGAACCAGAGTTTCAATCCAATGTGTGAGCCCACTGATGATTGGCCAACAATGTCGCATGGGAGTTCAGAAATGAGGGGAAGCGAACTCCATTCTAGCCAATTTATCAATGAAGTTGCCAGTACCAGCCTTGCACTATCCAGCAAGGAAGAAAATGAGTTTGCATTTCCTTGTGGCCCATCGGGGACTGAGGATGATGAAGAAGTTACAGAGTCGAAAATCAGGGCCTTCTTGGACGAAAAGGTAGAATTCATGTCTCTTAAGTGTCATCACAGTTGTTTATTGCATATATTCTGCCGATAGTTTTTTACAAGCTCTCTTCCTTGTCTTGCAATTTGAACCAGGCTTTAGATTTGAAAAAGCTGCAAACGCCTCTGTACAAGGAGTTCTACAACACATTGAATGCTACTGGTCCAAAACCAAGAGTAGCCGGAAAGACAAATAACGAAAATGTGAGGAGTTCTTCAATCTCTTTATTACCCCCTAAAAGCAAGTCTCCCAAACAGCTGCCACCGAGCAGAAGGCTTTCTTCAGTTATTGTTGATGCTCCTACTAGCAGTAGTCCTGGTATGCGTGCAAGTTACAGGGCCAATGAGAATGTCACCATCCACTCTCGAGCTCTGCAGGAAATCCAACCCCCTCAAATTAGCGAGTGGAAAAATGGCATCCTTAATGGAGAGCAGCAGGAACCAATCACTCCCAGGTTGGTTAGTCCATTCTAGTCATTCAAATGCTTGTCTTTACAACCTCACTTTGTGTAACTTGAAAAATCACATTGGTCTTAACTTGCAGCGCAAGCTTCTCTGAGAGGCAAAGAAAGTGGAAGGAAGAGCTTGATGAAGAGCTCGAAAGGCAGCGAGGCAAGTTTTCTACTCCTTCACTTTCACACAATATAGGGGAAAGCTTCACTAGAGCATTTCTAGCTAACTCTTCTTTACACATGTTGATAGCAGAGATGCTGCGTCAAGCTGGTGTGAGCCCGAAGACATCTTCTCCAAAGGACCGTGTTCTTAATCGACAAAGATCAGAACGAATGAGATTTCCATTTTCGGGCAAGTAGAAGCCTTTTGTGCACATTCTTCTTCACTCTGTGTGTAGCTTTTTCTCCATTCATGGAGTACTGCTGCTCCTGCTTTTGCATGTATGTAGTAATCTTAAGAAATGTTGTCCAACGGGGGATTGGTTGTCCTTGCCTAATACGATTATGGAGCCACCACCGTCGTTGCAGAAGGCCACAGCAAACTGCCTGCCTCATTGTCATTGTGTAATTTCAGCACAAAGAGCTGGCGGGCATGGGTGATATTTGTATGCATTTTTTTTCTCTCTCTACCTTGTCGAGGTGTCTCGAGATAAATGCTTGTAAGATGATGATGATGATGGGATCTGGAAAACCATAAATATATATAGAAATTTGGATGAAGTTTTTTCTAGTTGATGGGACCTATTTTAGTGATGCCCAAATCAGCAAGCCCTGTAACAAATGTGCAGCATTGTCGGCAACTCGGCATTGGATTGGTAGGCTTCCGATATTTTAAGTGTAAATATGGAGCCCAATTCGGTATCACAACTGCAAAAGCATAGCACCAACCCAAATAAACCGGTTTGTGTACCATATTATACTAGCTTTTTACCCGGCCCGTTGGCCGGATTACTGCATGTTACCCACTTGTGGAATGGGAGAGAAAGCAAGTGAGAGTGAAGGGATTGGGATTCCACTTGATTAGGACCGGCCCACTAATCCGATTCTTCTCGACCCGCCCCAACCTAAAGGGTCAGAAAGAGTCAATAAGAAAATACGAACGGAGAGGATTAGTCATATATCTTGACTCTTCAGAAGTGGGTCAAACAGGATAAGGTTGGGTGAGGACAATTTTTAGCGCTAAGCAGAGTTCTGGGTTGAATAACTCTACTTAAGCCTAGAAATTGGTATACTATCATCAATCATCATTGAATTAGTCCTGGGCATCCTTCCCCGTTGTCGGTCTGAATTCTAATGATGGCTTCATTCCTTGCACCAGCCATATCAGCGAGTTGTCATCTCGAGCATGATTTGCCTATGTACAAATGATACAATTAGAGTATGAAACTGAATTCAAAGAAAAGGAAAAGAGAATTCTATCACATGCCAATAAATACACACATAATAGTTGAAGCTAAGTGAAAGTCATTACTCGCACATCAATTCTAAAAAATTACAGACTAAACAATGGCTAGAATGGCACTGAAACTACCAAGAATCATGGACGAAACAACTTGTCAAATTAAATAATCCTTATACTGAAACTACCTTCTAACTTGAAATAAGACATGATCACAGTTCATAGCACTCTTATCACTATGAATTGGTTGCAGCTCGTCCTTATCACTGCCTCCCAAGCTCAATTCACAAAGAATAGAGACCGTTATGGAAGATAACCATATCCTTACTGATCATAATTCCTTTCTTCACTCCATTTTTGTCGGAGAAAAGAGTTATCCCCCTCTCATGCATTTCCCTTTCCCCCTCTCTTCTCCCTCTTCTTCACAAACCGATCCCTAAACCAGCAACAACAACACAAAAATAGCCTTCGCCTCTGCCATCTTCATCTACTGAACACGTTGGTGGCAAGACAGGACCGCAGAAGCAAAATTTTATAAAATCAAACTAAGTTTTTTGAAGGAGACTCAACCACGAAAAAAGAGTAAAGCAACAATGCTAATAGTTCAGATGGTTGGTTTTGATGTTATATGTTGCTTTTGTTATGGTCTCCAGTATATCAACTGCAACAGAGATGTTTCCTCCAATCATCTTTAGTGCACGATTTAGAAGTAAGTCCTCTTGTTTGTGTCAAACGGAAACATTCATGGGTTCTTTACTCCCCTGTTAGTGTAAATGCAGCAGCAGCAAAGAAGTTTGACAACACAGCAAGCACCCAGGCAAAATGATACAATGCAGTAGGTGATATGTGTCTCAAAGGTTTTGAGTTACTAAAGTTCATGTTAAAAATAAATATGAGTTAAAATAGATTATTCTATTAAGCAAACATCCCCTCTAATCATACAAAGATCAGATATCCAATTCACAAACAATTAAGCCATAAAAAATCATCACACATCCACCACCTTTGATTGCCTAAATTTGGTTTTTCGCAAAGTTATGGACTCTTAAGGGTAACGTTCATGGGTAGTCAGTTTCATAACTCTAGAGAGCACAGTAAGCAGCCACCAGCCAGACACAGTGCGGTAGGCGAATATGATTCTCAATTCACAATTTCTCACCACCGGAAGTAAGAACATACCATAATAAGCGTAGAGTTCATGGGTGGTCTGTTTCATAGCACTACTACACAATTTGTTAAAAAAGAAAGAAAGGTATTTAGCATCACGACGGAACAACTTTTAGAGGCCAACAACGACAACATGCTGCAACCACCAGAACTGGTATCACAACTCATAGGGAAAATAAAAAGATTTACTCTCAAATTAAGTAGTTACAACATCGAGCAATCGTCAAGCACATACACCATCACAAAAGTCACGGAACCTGATTCACAAAACATTCAAACATTTGAAGACATTTCTGTAAAGGTACAACTTATATGTCTTTTTTCCAAGCCATTTCCATCAACATGCTAATAAATTTGCAATGCATAAAACAAACAGGCCAAAACTTTAAATTCAGCCTGTTTGACCAACCCATGCCAAATTCTAATTATTCTTTACTTTTAAACTTTCTATTTGAAAATAAAAAATAGTGAAAGAAAAGAGACGACTACAATTCGCCATTTGCACATCACTTATTCGGGAATAAAACCATAGAAATTCAAAAGGAACTGAAAAGGTTTAGGATCGTTTTAATGTTTAAAATAACCAAATAGATCTTTATGTTTAGTTTTTTACTAACAAATACCAAACGATTCCCTATAAAATACACTATAATTTGATCATTATGATGTCAAATAATTATTAAATATATATTTGAAATGATCAAAATTGGACTAATTGGGTTGGTCGAGGTTGAACCAATGAATAACTTTAAAATACATTATATTTTAGCCACTAAGATATAAAATAATAGCATAATATATATTATGCAAGAGAAAATAGCTTATTTTAGAATGGCAAACCAATGATGTTCATTTGTTTTACTTGATGGCCAAATCCCATGTAGGTCAGGCCCATTCAACTCTTTTATTTTATGGTTAGCGGTTAGCCCATTAGATACCATGCATTAGTTTATTGTTAAATTTTTTATTTTTAACAATAAAAAGGAGTATTATTTTTGCCTTTTCATTATATATTTTTATCACCCGGATAAATAAAAGGGTATAAAGACAAAAATTGACACTCCTGGACACGTTTAAATCCGCATGTGCGGTAAGTTGGCCCGTTCCACAGAGGAAAGAGAAAAAAAAGTTGACACTCCCTATTCTACCCTTCCTACAAATGCTCCTGGAGCTGGAAATTTGAAATGGTGGAAGAGTTTTTTCCACCCTGCTATTATATGTTTTATATTTAAAATGATACAACAAATGTACTTAGTGTGATTGGTTATGATCCTTGTCTTTCTTTAAAATGGTCATGGTTCGAATCCTAGTATGTATCTTTTTAATGAATAAAAAAAAAGTAATTGTGAAGACCAAAATGTCCTTCCTACTTTCACTCTCGTTGCAGGAAATTTGAAATGGGGCTCCCGTTTTTCCCTTCGGTGTATTATATTACTAGCAATTGGGCCCGGCCCGTTGGCCGGTGCTAATGACTATACCTCTCGTTATCTTTTTTTTTCCGATTGGTTTCATGTTCTATTGTTGCTTCTCACTCGGTCTTTTACTAATAAGATAAGAGTGGTGATCCCATATAGACATTCCTTTAATGGAGGCTATCTCCATACGGAAATGATTTCTCCTTCCAATGAACTCTAAGCGCTAGTTTTTCCTGAGATTAATCTATTGGCAATGATGCCTACCGATCATGATCAAGTCGAGGAAAAATTAGCCAACCTCCCTACTGTTATTCCTATATAAAGTTTATAAACAAAACTGTTACTCAACCTTGTTGTGGATGTCATTGAAAATTAGAAATATGAATGCAAAATTACACACCAAAATTCAAGTGGATGCTATCATGAACTCGTAAAAGTAAATTGTTGTTGTGATAAACACACTAAACTAAGCTGCTGTTTTTATGCGCACACGCAAATGCATACTATTTTCAACATGAAATTCCAAGTTTTTCTAGGAGAAGGGTAATCAAAACATAGAAGCTTAAACTATTTACAATGTAAAAGTCTAAATTTTATGAAAACCCAACTATTTACAAACACTATTAAGATACCATTTATAACATGGACCTTAGTTGCAATAATTTCAGCAATACTACTCTTTCTTAGTGTTAGTCTGTCAGAGTCAATCAAATGTTTCCTTTCTGCCTCTTGAGGTACACACACATGCATACTATTTTCAACTTGAATTGGTGTTGCAGATTTCTCCAAGTTTGCAGCAACCAAATTTGTTTCATCTCTTGCAACACCTAATCCTCCTCTTTATAGCCCAAATATGTGACCCCTATTAATAACACAGAGAACCCATAGAAGAACCAACAGAAGTTAGAGCCCAAATAACATGGTAGATTCTTTTTCAATTGATTCTGAACATGACCTAACTCTGAATCAATCAACAACATCGATATGAAAATATAGTTTCAAAGAATAAAAACACCATAATCCTTGTCATCTTTCCCTTTAAGTTCAACCTTGAAGGCTAATTTTCGATGGGACGAATAAGCATCAACTTCGATATGAAAATATAGTTTCAAAGAATAAAAACACCATAATCCTTGTCATCTTTCCCTTTAAGTTCAACCTTGAAGGCTAATTTTCGATGGGACGAATAAGCATCAACTTCAACATACTTCAATTGGTATTTTATAGGTCATACCCTATAAGTAAAAGATGAAGAAAGAGCGGCAGAATTTAACCTTGCCTTAATTGTTGAAAGAATTTGAAATAAGGAAAGACGAAGAAAGTATGGTTTGGTAAGACCTCAAATGAGACCAGCCAGATTCGAGGCCCCATTATTCCACCATCCAATGACAAATGCCAATAGAATTGGCGGAGAGACTAAATTCTGCAGATGATAAAACCCAGGCTAATTAGTCTCGAAGCAGAAAGAAAGATGGAATAATCGAAACAAACCTTTTGTTAGCTAATAGCATACTGAATGAAAAGAGTGATGTTTGCTCAACGATACCTCGACGCTGAAGAAGAAAATCGAAGTTGTGATGTAGAGGTGTTGAAAATTTTTGTATGCAGTACCTTGAATGGGAATAGGAGGGCCGAAAGCTGGAGAAGGAAATCGGATCGGATGTAGAAGGGCGGCGAGGGGTTATTTGAGTTTCCGAAGGATTGAGTAATTTACAAAGAGAGTGACATTTCGTCGACGATATCTCGAGGTCGGAGAAGAAAATCCGGGTTTTTGATTTAGAAGAGTTGAATACTCTGCACTCGTCAAGAAAGAATGAGGCGGCCGACGGAGTAAGAGATCGGAGAATTGATGTAGAAGGGCGTGGGATTAATTGGGATTTCCGGCTGGAACAGAATGAGAGTGAAAAGAATTGTCTAATTTACATATCTGTCCCTCCGAACTGTGCGGCCTGTGAAGGAGGAGCTTACGTGGCAAACTTATTTTTATGACATTGCCTTATTGTATTGTGTAGATGTGTAGATTGGTAATTTGATAATATCATCGTCTATTGTTAGTCAAAATTGGTACAATATGCACATATATAGAGAAATTTTGTTGGGCTTAATACCAATATTGTAGCCAAACATTTTTTTGAACGTTAAACTTAACTGTCAACGAAACGACAGTCAACCATTTTCTTGACTTTGTGCCAACATGGCATCCACGTCATTAGATGTATGAATTTCTTACCCAAAAATTCTACCATTGTTGGATATGGGCTAGGGGGAGAGGGCGAGAATCAATGACGTTAATGTCGGATCTCCACTTACCTTCCTTGGGGGAAATGATCGAAAAGGTGCGATCTAGAAGGATATGAAGAAGGAAGTTGAGTTCGCAATTGTTTGATGGTTAGTCTAAACTTCAAGAATTAGCCATTGATACATATTGTATAAGATACTAAATTTGAATGTCTTGATAGACAAATAAGATCCTACACTGAGATTTCATAAACATCCAAAATGAAAATAAGTCAAGATTAGAGAATTTAATCATCATGAGGGGGTAGAATGTGAATCATGTGAATCAAGTTTCAATTGGGATGAACAAATTTATCCAATAATGAAGTATCTTTACTGAACAATTCAAACTAGGATGTCCTAATCAAAACAATATCATTGATTGAAAGTTCATCCAAACTCGAGAATCGTGAATTGATATATATTACATAAGATAATTAATTTGAGTGTCTTGGTTGATAAATCTTAACATAAGATTCTAAATGGGACGAGTTAACCCTTTATGGCATGATTTATGATTTGAGAATCGAAACATCGTAACTGAATGTGCTAAATATTGAGATTTTTCATTATAGACACACCACATACTCACTTACGAATCGAGAACATAAATTTAGATGATCCAATATAGTCTGAAGATAAATATATTAATTAATAAAAATGATAAATGTAACCCACCGGCTGGGTAAAAAGCTAGTAGAGAAGAGTGGTTGAGCCATGCTAAAAGGACAGGTATCGAACAGAGTGAAGTCACTGGAGAGGTAAAAGTTACATTAAAAGAGAATACCATAACAACTCATGTAACTCTCATAACAACCTACACAATTTCACTGCCCCTACTTTCACTTAATGCTCCTAAATCAAAAAGAAGAATTACATTGGTATAGTTGACCTAAGGAATTCAGTCTCAATCTTGCTTCCTTGCTTCCAAAAATCAATACGACTAATAGAATCATGGTAGTCAAATCTATACACTAAAACTAAAATCATAAAATTCAGACGGGCCTTTCCATAGAGCCGATCTTCAAAGGCAATGATCTTCAGTCAGCGATAGAGGAGTGGAATCGACAGCATAGTAGAATCCCAATCGTTGACCGAGACGCTGATTGATGAAGGCGTCAGAGGCAACATCCAATATCATTATTGTGGATAAGGGGTAATAAACTGTTGCGCGGAGAGCGGTTGCGTTGACTGCTCTACGATTGACGTCGGAGTTGACGGCGGTGGTATCAGGGTTGGTTGTTGCATCAGTGAAGAGCGGATAAGCCAGTGTCATGCGGAGGGTGCCGACGTTCACGTTTCTAGGGTCCATTTTGACCACGGGGTCGGTGTTTAGCTCATCATTGACAGGATGAACAGTGGCATCAACAAAGACGACGGGCAATCTCTGACTCAACCTTGGATACATGCGGGAGGCTGACTTCCAAATCATTGTTGTGGATGAGGAAAATGAATTATCGGTGGATTTGACGGTATCAGGCTCAGAGTTTAGGGATTGAGCAGTGGCGGCCTTCCCAAGTAGCTCTTTGTCTTCTTCCATGCCCCATGTGGCGAAGATGTGAGTTCGATCATTTTGGAAGAAATCCACAATGGTGCGATTTGTTGAACCTTCTTGGCATCGATCGGTTGACAATGGCACAAATGGTATACTAAGATATCTGTGTAGGTGGAATGCTGCAAAGTGCGGGGTTCGAGAAATTCTTTAAAAATTCTCCAACCCATCACATCCATCGTGTGGTGGCCTTCTTCGTCTTTTTCCACCACTTTTCGGCCATTCTTTGTCGCTGCTCATTTATCCAATAGACGAGACAATCACTTGAAGATGTGAGAACCATATGCATAGCCAAACTAACTTCAGTAGGGTGGACTCGGAGTCTGTAGGAAGAATGATCTTTCACCTCGCGCCAATTCCATTTTTGGCAGGCTGGGTACCAGCTGAAAGCGAGAATCAACCACTTTCTTCAACATTTTTCTTTTCACTAATGGAAGTGTTTTCTATGATCTTGGATCTTTGAATGGTCCTCGAAACAGAATGAGCAAGAAGGGGAAGAATGCGGTGAGGCCAATTTATACAAGAAATTCGGCGGGGACACTCCACTCCAGCCGATGGAGTTAGTTATGAGAGAAGGCAAGGTTCATTGGTGTGAGCCCGAAGACATCTTCTCCAAAGGACTATGTTCTTAATCGAAAAATATTTGAAAGAAGGAGATTTCCATTCTCGAGCAAGTAGAAGCCTTTACACACATTCTTCTTCACCATGTGTGTACTGCTTCTCTCAAGAGGCATGAAGGGGGGGAAATCTTAAGAATGGAGAGGCAAAAAAGATGGATTTCAAACTTTGAAATTGTAAAGTTTTTTGCTAGAACAACCAAAATGGATGGCATCTCGTGTTACCCAGCCCTCCAGCAAATACTGTTACTAATATATCATACTAACAAACATGAACAATGAACAAAAAAAAAAATAATACTCTTGTTAATGCACCTCCAGAGGCGACAGCGGCACAACGAACCATGACCAACTCTGGTGGCGCAACTTCCAGGGGAAAATCAGCATTGTGTGAGGATGAAGAAGATTGCCCGTATTCGGAAGATAAAAAGAAATTGGACCAAATAAAGAAGCGAGAGGAGCCCATCAGCTCTCTCTTCGTCAAGTCTAACAGAGTAGTTTAAACGGAAAAGCCAAAGAAACTAAACGAACTCCCATACTTGCCAAAAAAAATATGGAATCTTGATTAAAAAAAAAAAGAATTACATTGGTATCAGTTGGCCTAAAGAATTCAGTCTCAATCTTGCTTCATTGCTTCCAAAAAAGAATAAGACTAATAGAATCACGATAGTCGAATATATACAGTAAAATCCTAAAATTCTTACGGGCCTTTTCCATATAGCCAATCTTCAGCGGCAAAGATCTTCAGCTGAAGACGGAGGAGCAGCATAGTAGACTCCCAATCGATGACCAGCATGCTGATTGTTAAAGGCGTTAGAGGCATCATCTAGTATCATTCTTGTGGATAGGGAATTGCAGCCCCAATATAGATGAGAATGAAAAATGAATGTCAGAAGTGGGATTTGAACCCACGCCCTCTCTCGAAGACCAGAACTTGAGTCTGGCGCCTTAGACCACTCGGCCATCCTGACTTATATGTCAGTTAACTCACGCTTTGTTTTTCTTATCAAGTAAATTAAACCCACAGTCGCCGCAGGCCACAGCATCTACGTGAAAGTGGGAGGTATATTTAAAAAACTTTCCTGAGTTTGGAAGAATGATTGATAATAATACGAAAGTTTACTATGGAAAGATAGCCTTAAAATTGCTCGTCAGAGCTAGCAGCACAACATGTATCATGAATAACAAAAAGGCTGAAAAAACCTTCTAAGATACGTGGTGAAAATTCCATGTGAAAAGCATTCAGTGAGTGACAATTGACAAACATTGTAGAGATCAGTTGTGCCCCTTACACTAAAGGCATTTCTTGTTGAAAATTATCACACAAAAATTTGCCCTCTAGCTGACCACCTTTCAGACGATTAAATTGTGCATTTGTTTCTCAGTTGTACATGTCTACATAGTCGTCGAACCTGAACTCGCGATCCACCCACGTAAGATATTCATTCCATTGCATCTAACGTCTCGAGTAGTAGTTTTTGGAAGAAGATTTGGAAGGCTCAACTGCATGCAGAGGAAAGGTGAGTTATCGAGAGAGATCGGAAGTCTTGATTATAGAGAAACTGACATAATCATAGTTTGTACAGTAAATCACTCAATGCACAAGTTAATCAACCACAAAGCTTCTGTCCAAAATGATGGATGGTCCAGTCTATGATTTGTAACACATAAACAGCATTACCAAAGCAACAACGAGTAACAGCACTCGAACTTTCGAAAATTTTCATCTATAGGTAGAGTAAGCAATTAAGAAACTAGCGCCATCGCTGGCGTCCGAGAATCGACGCCGGAGACGGGGAAACTGGGAGTTCCTGCGATCAGATACCGGACGGGGATGAATCATTGGCATTACCGATTCCGCGATCGAGCGCAATCCTTGTTCAGAATTTTGCTTCCAAATTCTCAATCGAGCTCCACATCGATCCAGTGGGCCGTTTAGAGAAGCCCAAGCCAGCAAGACGGTTACCAGCGTAGGTGGCGTTGGATTGGTGAAACAAAGCCCAATTCAGTCCAGGCCTGGTGCAAAACTGGGGAAGCATTGAACTGACGCACAAAAACACGTAACTTTTATGTTTTCTGATTGGAGTGCTACGAACCGGTTCGAGCGGTTAGTTATTCAAAATCCTTGTTCAATTTTTTTTTTTTTATTGTTTGGTTTGTCGATTGGAGTGCTAGGAACTGGTTCCAGCGGTTAATTATTCGAACCGTTAACAGATCGACCAGTTCAAAATACTTTTAAAAAAGTGTTGGAAATAATATGATGATCCAAGTCCATCTTTTACATGTTCGGTCGGCCAGTTAGGCTCGGTTTTATCAACACTGGTCGGCACGGCACCACTATATATAGGGGTTAGTTTTTTATTTTTTATTTTAGTATTATAAAGTACTGACTTGGCACCCAAAATGTTAGCTCAATAATTTGCAGTCAAAACCTCTCATTTTCCACAGGAGAAAATCATGGAAATAAAATCAGTAATGATTAAGGCCATTGTTGTATTATTTCTGCGACTTTGAATGGCCTTCCTAATAAGTAAGATCCAAACAAACAGACGATAATTAAGCAAGCAACCGACAGCTCGAAATAATTGCTTCTCGCTTTGATAGATAGCGAAGGGAAACAATGGACTTGGCCGGCCGGCCGGCAAGCTGAGCAGTCGAAAATCGATCTCAAGGAATTTGAAAGTGTCTGTTTGACCAGCCAGCAGCCTCGCCTCCTCCCATTTTCGTGGGACACCATGTCTTTTTTGAACTTATTCTTTGCAAACCTCGCTTCATATTCAACTCCGTCGATGAAAGCCGCCGCGTGCTGCCAACCAACAACAAACCGAAAAAGCATATTTGCTGCCGCACTCGCTTATTCTTAAGACACGTTTCCATTCCCATTTCCCATCAACAAAAACTATCACTTCTGTCATGGCCGGAAAGATCTTCGTAATGTCTATTTTTTATTTAAATTATTTTCAGATTTTTTATATTATCCAAATTTATCAAAATACTAAAAATTAATCAAATATTAACTTTCAATTATCAATTTTGTTAGTAATATTTTTTTATCGGAATTTTGTTAGTAATATTGACTTGGCAACATGATACTGACTTAAAAGAGACACATGAAGGTCAACATTGCAAAATTTTAGTATTTTAAATAAGAAAAAAATTATAAAATTATTAACGATAATGTAAAAATTGCTAATATTTTGATGCATTATGAAAGATTTGGCTCATTAATTAATATAATTTTAATAGGTTTGGATAATATAAAAAGAATCTGAAAAAAAAATTGGATAAAAAATAGACATTACCATTCTCTTATTTACTTAGATGTGACTGATTTTTACTTAAATCCGACATGGTGATGTACATTTTAAAGGTGATAGTTGCGTACCAGATACCCGGTCTGCGCTTCACAGTGGTTTTACCTAAAAATGTATATATTAATTAGAAATGAAGAACACTTTTATTTTAAATGAAAGCTGATGTTATTAGAGAACGAAATAAACTTTTAAGAATTCATCTTTGGTATATAAATATGGTTTTCGATTGAATAATTATTTTAAAACTTCTGTACACATTAATAAATCTATAACAACGAAATCAACCAATGGATTATCAAGGTATTGACAATGTTGAGTGGAAAACCCTAAAAACCTGGGTTGTGCCTTTGCATTGAGATGAATATATATGTGGGATTGCCACTACAGGTTAAGGATCTGCTGGGTTGTGTCCTTTTACAGCAGAGCAGAGTGAAAAGAAAAGCAAACAGAGAAGAATTACAAAATAGAGCCTATTGTGGCGGGTTCAGTGATACTGTGCCGTTTAAGGCAACTGTCGACTTCTTCCCCTTTACGACGTCGCTCCATGTCTTGAGTTTGGAATTTTCAATTTCAGCTGTTACCCCCCCACAAGCGGGTGGGCAGAGCGTCTGGACACCGAGCTTGGATAGAAGAAAGCTGAATGTAGCTGGAGGAAGCGGCTTTGTGAAGAGGTCCGCGAGTTGGTGAGAGCTCGAGACATGGAGGAGCTTAATTACCTTGGCTTGCAGCTTCTCCCGTACCAGATGACAGTCAATTTCGATATGTTTCGTCCGCTCATGGAATGTTGGGTTGCCAGCGATGTGCAGAGCCGATTGATTATCGCAAAAGATGGTTGCTGGTTGCGGGTGAGGGACTCTGAAATCAGTGAGGAGGAAGAGGAGCCACTGTACCTCGCAAGAGGTGTATGCCAGGGCTCTGTATTCAGCCTCACACGATGAGCGAGAGACTGTATGTTGCTTCTTGCTCTTCCAAGAGATTAGAGAATCTCCCAGGTAGATGCAGTAGCCTGTGATGGAGCGCCTGGTATCTGGGCAGGCAGCCCAATCTGAATCGCTGTAGCCTTGAAGATGGAGAGAGGATGAGCGGGGGAAAAATAAGCCAGAGGTTGGTGAAGACTTCAAATATCTGAGGACACGAAGAAGAGCTTTGTAGTGAGTGTCAGTTGGGTTGGCCATGAATTGGCTGAGTTGCTGGGTGGAGAAACTGATATCAGGCCTTGTGGTTGTAAGGTAGATCAGTTTCCCCACGAGTTTCCTGTAGGTGGCAGCATCAGTGAGTGGTTGATCAGAGGCAGTAGACAGATGAGATTTATAATCCATTGGTGTTGAAGCAGGTCTAGAGAGAAGGACACCAGCCTCCTCGATGATTTCCAGGGTGTATTTCCTTTGGTTAAGATGAATGCCAGATGAATCCCTTGACACTTCCAGACCTAAGAAAAACTTGAGATTCCCAAGATTCTTGATGCCAAAAGCTTGATGTAGATGTTCCTTGATGTGGTTGATCTCAGTCATATCAGATCCTCCAATGATGAGATCATCAACATATATGAGGATACAGGTATAAGATGTTGTTGTGTGCTTGAAGAAAAGGGAGTGATCAACCTGGCTTGATTGGTAACCTTGAGAGCATAAGCTATCTGCCAGTTTGGCAAACCATTGACGTGGGGCTTGCTTTAATCCATAGAGGGATTTCTTCAGTAGGCATACTGGGTTTGGAATATTGGCTGGTGGTGTGTAACCCTTTGGGAGCTTCATGTAAACTTCTTCATGGAGATCTCCATGAAGAAATGCATTGTTTACATCAAGCTGTTGAATGATCCAGTTCTTTGCAGCTGCAATGGCCAAGAATAGCCTCACTGTTGTCATTTTAATGACTGGAGCAAAGGTGTCCTGATAATCGACCCCTTCCTGTTGGCTGAAGCCCTTTGCCACTAGCCTAGCTTTTTCTCTTTCAAGGCACCCATCAGAGAGGAACTTCAGTTTAAAAATCCACTTGTTACCAATGGCCTTCTTCTTTGGAGGTAGGGAAACAACATCCCATGTCTGGTTTTGAATTAGAGCCTTGAGCTCAGACTGTACTGCATTATCCCATTCTGGACTTAGGATAGCTTCTTCATATGTTTCTGGTTCCTTGTAGGAAGAGATGCTGAGAGCAAATTTCTGATGTTGTGGTGATAGAGATGAGTAATCAATGAGAGCAGACAGAGATGCAAAGTTACCTGATTGTGAAGACTCAGTTGAGTGACTGGTGGAAGAAGACTGCTGGAGCAGGTTGCAATGGTATGGTTGTAGTCTTGCTGGTGGTTTTGTTTGTCTATGAGGTTTTCTAATGGCAATTGGAACATTTGAATCTGGAGAAGAAGGGTTGTTGGATGAAGGGTGGATGGGAACACTGGAAGATGGAGGTGCAGGTGGTATAGGAGTTGTTTGGGGAGGTGGTGGGTCATCAAGGAAGGGAAGAGAGGGGTATAAGGGGTTGTCATTAGTGTCTGTGTCTTGTTGGATGTGATGGAAAGGAAAATGATCCTCATAGAAGTGCACATCTCGTGAGATGAAGACCTCATGGGTTTGAAGATCATAGATCTTGTAGCCCTTGATGCCACTAGGATAGCCTAGAAAGACACCTTTTCTGGCTCTGGTTTCGAACTTGGT